ACTTGAGTGTGCCTCAGTCGATGCAGCCCTGCCAGAGCTGCAAGTGATCAAAGTGGGGAAGTATGTCACCCTAGATTGAAACCGCAATTAAAGGATCGACTTTCTGGATGGGGTTTTTGGTCAGACTTGAGGCACCTGTCAATTTGCAAACGTATTCCAAGCTCAATGTGGGAGAGCCTACAGCAGCATTCAGTTGACTGGACATATTTGACTGTGATTACTGTGATTAAAAACAAGCTCCTGCCTCAGGTGATGGCAGGAAGAACGTTTTCTTCTTGCGCTCATCTCATTTGCACTCTCGCTTGCTATATTCGTGCGAGGCCTAATTGCCGGATCCTTCCACACACATAATTACACACCTCTGCCTTAGGTTTCGAGCACTAACATTCATGAACAGGAAGACAGCTATTGTCATCTCACTCTAATTCACTTTCCATGAAGGGCAAAAAATAGAAAAAGGACAGACTGATGGACAGATGCCTACTGGCTTTAGCAACACAGAGATCAAAATGACAAGAATTTCAGTTGGAGGGGAAGATTGGCGAAGATTGTGGAGACACTTTCTGGCTCAATTTCAGAATCATGACTGACTGGGTGATTTTTCTTTTTTTCCGGCTCTTCTTTTCCTCCTCCGATCTGTAACCTACCCAGCAGTTCATGAGAAAGATGCTGACGCTGCTTTGGTTTGGTTCCAGAGCACAGCTTCCATAACAGGCTGTCTGTAACCTCCCCTTAACCTCTGCGCAAGCTTCTCTCCCATTCACATGCTCTGGGCTGATATGTAATTCCTCAGAGAGCACAGTGGGCCGCTGTGCGCAAACAACAGAAAAGACCATAAAATCTCGCTCAACAGGTGAGCCAGCTGTCACACTGTCACAGCTAGGTCTCAGAGAAATAGAATGCCATACATCCTCACCATGTGCCAAGTGCGGTGAACATTGCCGAGCAGAACTACAGTGTTAGGGTGGTTACATTACAAATGACTTATTATTTCTCTAAAACTGTAATGGGACCACTTTATTGATTGTTTACTGGAAAAAAGTAATCTCAGTACTCAAAACTTTACTTCTGTGTTACTCTCTAAAAACCATACAAATCTGTACCAAGTGGAGAGAACAAGAGAAAAACCAGTCGACCTTCTGTACTTTATTCACAAAGAAATAGCCAGCCACAAGCAAGCCATAGCCAGTTAACCCCTTAAGTGGTCCACTGACTGGCCCAAAGTTTTATTACACACTTCTATAACCTAAGAATAGCTCAGCCAGTTTGCACTGAAGGCCTTGTAGATACTGAATAATAAGCCATAGTACGTAATAAACCTGGGATTTTAAAGAGTTAAGCTTAGTTAAAGTGATAAACAGCCAATGCGGTTGGAAAACTCAGAACCTAGTTAGTAGAAATGGTCCCAAAACAGCTGCCTGAAATCTTTACGGATAACATTTAACGCTTAGAGAGCTGCTCCTGAATGAAAATCGAGTGTAGTCTGTTTAGGTGAGGTTGGATCTCTCTTCTTCATCATGAGGATCTTTATCCATAAGTTTCATATCAGCAGAATTAGATGCTTCCACAGATTGTTGGCCGAGTTTACAGTGCCTCCCATGCTCGGACATCTCACATTAACGATCAAACTCGTGCAGTCAGCTGTTGGACAGATGTACGGACAGGCACAATATTTAGACACGATGCTCAAGTAATGTAATTCTAAGCCAGGAACTGTAACGTGATTACAAGAACTGAAAATGTAATGTGTTACACTACTTTGTTACAGGAAAAAGTAATTAAAAGTGTGACATGCTTAATTAATTTTCCAAATACTCAAACATTCTTACTTTTGTAAATTTCATTTTTATGAAAATTAAATATTTAGTAAGCATTTTAACTAAACAAGAGTTATGAAGCCCAAAACCTATTTGGATTTGCCATGACAAATAGACACGCCCCATATGTACAGTGTGCTTTAGAGCCTTGACGCTAAAGCTTTATCTTACCTCTAGTTAGGTGCAGCAGCCTTCACTTGTACTTGTTAGTGCTGACTAAAAGTAGCTTGCTGTTGGGCTAACCATGAAAGATGAAAGATGAAATTTGTCAAAGATTTAGACTTTTAAACATTAGCAATGTAGGCTACAGGCTGTCTTCATTGATTATGTCTGAAAATCCTGGTTAAAACTCAAAGCAGACCACTACAAACATTTAGAATGTGAAGTTAGATAGAACTAATTGGTTACAAGCTTTTAAAGGCAGTATCAACACCTTAAATAGCCAGGCTTCCATTCATCATATCTATAAAATCAGGATAACTCTCCAGTTTACATTGTTTTCCATGCAGTTAGTGAATAATATGCCTTAGGATGTAATAAGCATGGGAATTTAAGGGGTTATTAGAAGAAACCCTTGTACATGTAGGGATAGGAAGAGGTTGAGGTTGTGCCTGTAATAATTGCACAGAGATGTACATCTGTGGCTTTAACCATCTGAACATGGGGGTCATTTGAAAGCAATTGCTAGCTCTTTAAGTGGCACACAAATCACTGAACTACTCAGCTCAGTTCATTGTACTCTGCTTGGTTCAGCCCTCAAAAGCCACAGTATTTTTGAGATCAGTCAGTGGATAACAAAGGTCATTGGTGTTATTGACCCACAGAGCTGTATTCCTGTCTTAAGGTGAAAGCTCACAAGATAAATGAAGTATCATCATTTGATTACAGACAACAAGGCCAGACTCACTGCATGTGCTTTTTGAGATGCTTGTCTACAAACGAACATTACAGAATTTAAAATTTTGTTTCACAGCTCTCTTCCTGTGCGATTCTAGTAAGTGATTCTGAAGGCTTGCGGGAATGGAGTTGTACAAGAATGATGTTCTGCATATCTCGCAGCTTCAGAAGAATCTGTCACATGTTATTCTCATTGTGCTGCCTCTTTAATCACACTTTTCATCTCTTACAAATTGCTCTTCGTTCAGAAGTCAAATCAAATTAATTTCAAGCGCACTCTGCGCCCTGCTAGGGCAGGGTAAATATGGTTTTCTGTTACCAGCTTGGTTCCATCCACTATCTGCGGATCCTCGCCCCAGGGCCACTTCTGTAACCTTTTCACAGTTGGCTGGCCTAGGCTGCCGTCCCAGGCGTTTTTGGAACGGCTACCTTTTCCATACTGAGAGAACTCAACTGTGAGATTAAAAAGAGCAAGCGGACACTGAAGCCGTGTGACCTGCCCTCTAGCTAACGGAGTTGACCCTTCTACACATGGTGTGTGCCTTCAAAAACACACACAACTCACACCACAGAGAAAAGCCTCATGGAAATGATGGACAGGAATCCTTGCTTTACAGTGCAGAGGTTTGAAGAAACTTTCAAGCTAAACAAGATTTATGCTTCCTTTTGGGTTTTATCCCTGCTTTAATTTTTTTAAACTGCATTAGTGAGAGTAGGATGTTCTCTCTCGTTTTAGTTTCATCCTGAGCCATTCTCATTTCCATAAGACTGTTGCATTTTAGAATTAGCATTCAAAACCTTGTTACTTTTTTACACTGTTTGAAAATAGTATTGTGACTAGCTCACTTCGATAAGCTCAGTCACAGCACACAGAGCTGACAACTGCCTGCAATCACGCGTTTCCAATCAGACTGATGAAACCTGCTGCATGAATGTGCGTATGCAAGGCTGTGCGGATGGGCGTGTACCCATGTTCCCAGGTTCAGCTTTTTATGGATCTTTGTATCAAAGTCAGACTTGAAAACACATTTTGGACTAAAATCCTTTTGCTTTGAGCAGCCCAAACCTTAATTGTGTTTAATTTATTAAAATATCAGTATGATTGAGTGTTCTATTTTGTTACTACCAAAACATTCATAACACTACCAAACCTTTACCAAATGACTGTTTTGGTAGTGACAATTTTAGCTAATTTTGAGCAGAGCTCAAAAACGCTAGCCAGTACATGACAAGCAAACAGCTTTGAAGAGTTGTGCACACACAAAATTTTAATGTTTTTACTAACACAAAAAATGTACTTAATTGCAGTAAATATGTGGGTAACACTTTATTTGGAGTGGTCCTTTGTAGATGATTAATAAAATCTTAACAGATTATCAGTAACACATCAACAGCATATCAGTGAAGTAACAGTAGTGAAGCATCTGGATACATTGAAGTAAATATCTTGTAGATGTTCTGTTGATACATTTCTCACATTCAGTAGATGTGTTGTTAATTAGTTACTTCCATTACACAAAACCTAACCTTACCCAGCCTTACCCAAAACCAAACCCTCACCCTGGCCCTAATCCTAACCCTAACCTTAACCTTAACCCAAAACCTAAACTTAACTCTCATATGTTTTTGACATATCACTAACTGTTTGTTTCATCTAAAAGAATCACTCAACATAAAGTGTGACCAATATGTGTTTTGGTAGTGACAGTTCTTAATGTTACACTCTGATTTTCAGAGATTTGGACACATTTACTTCAAAACAGTGGGATTTCAATTACTGCCTTGGGTTTAAATATATCCTACAATCCTTGTAAAATATCTGGATGTCTGAAAGCTTAATTGTTTCCTTTTTTAACTGTGGGATTGCAATTTGAACTACTTTGGTGGAATGGTTCTCATATCATACACAATATCTTAACATGATGCTTTGTTGTTTCACAGGGTAATCAAAGGTCATATATTTTCAGCAGGAATGCACTTTGCCTCAGTGTGCAAACATAATTCAGTTGATTTTTGAAATACTAGAGTGTGTGATGCATATACTTTGAATAAAAATGCAACTTTGTCGATATTGTGAACTTCAAATGCTGCCTACGACTCAATAGATTCTCATTCTTGTTCACTGAGATGTTCAATCAGAACGTGTTTTGATAATGGAAACTTTGGAAGCAGCATATAAAGCAATTTCTGATTTCATGTGAAATTGCTATACTTTATGTTTAAGCTCTTTTAGCTCTCGTTCACAGTGAGTCTGACTCTACTGCTATGTGTTGTGTGCTCTTACAGACCTGCGGAGGATGACGGCTGGCTTCATGGGCATGGCTGTAGCCATCATCCTGTTCGGCTGGATCATCGGCATGCTCGGCTGCTGCTGGGACCGAGGCCTCATGCAATATGTGGCAGGTCTGCTCTTCCTCATGGGCGGTGAGTCAGCCACCCACACAGAGCCTAACACACTGGCTATGTCTATACTTATCCATGTTCACTATACAGTACCCTATTTGGGGAGTCTGTCATTTTGTAGTGCTGTGGGAAAAACACTCATATGTCTCTCTTCACTTGCTATATGCTATTTTCTTACCCTTTACCCTGTGCACTTCACTGTGCCCAAATTTTCTTAGGGTAATATGTCTTAGAGCGAACACTAATGTTTTCCAGTAACTGTAAAAGAGAATTTGCTGTACTGTACCTAGCATCATTGAATCACACCTGGGATAGCAAGTAGCTAATGTTAGCAAACTGAGATTAGCTGTAACCCAGTTACTATTATGACATTTTAAAATCTTGAGCTGCATATCGCAAATAACCTAACATTAATAAAACCTCAAAGAAATACAGTCATTGAAGGACAATTACATTTAGCTCAGGTTTGAAATTTAAAAAGACTGCAGCTTCCTCTAATGGACCTCCTCTTAAGCTATGAAAAGAAGCCTGCCAGTGCAAAGTTGACCATGACGATTAGAGCTAGGCCTTCAACTCGGGCCATCAATATCAAAAAGACCTGTATGATAATGCTAATTTCTGCTAGAACACCTAAGACATTTCTAGTAGTTCGGTAGTGTTAAGCTAACACTGGTACGCATTAATATGTTTTGGCCATTCTAGATTAAACACAGATGCTTCTAAAAGACATGCCATGCTTTACATGAAGTTTATAATATACTTGAACATAGATTTAACCCTGTATGTTGCAGCTTTGTGACTCTTTCACGAAAGAGCTGCCCCTGTTTTCCATTTCTAACAACTGACTGAAACCTGCTTAGGTTAGAACTTGCATTCACAGTCAGTGTCATATATACGACCTAAAATTACCTTAAAAACCTTTTCCCACAAACTTGACAATTCACACTGGAAGAGAAAATATCATTGGTGGATTCCTCTGTCATTTACTAATTATGTTGGTGGTTGTAACATGTTAGTCCTTCAGGCCTGACTAATGGAAGAGATAGCTTGGCTGTATCTGCTTAGATGCCACAAGAAAGAAGTTCTGATTGGATAATTTTCCTTTGGGTGTGCCAAGATTTTAGCCCTTTTGTGTCCAATCAAAACTTAACAATGAAATAAAAGGATTACTACAAAACTACAGAGTTTAAATACAATTATGATTCTTCTGTTAAATAAAAGGAATTAAAAATTATAGAGATGTATTTGTATTTCACAGAGATTATTAGGCTTCTCTAAAGGCCTAGAGGGCTATGAAGGACCCCCTCTGCTGTTTCAGTTCTCAGTATGAGACACACTACTTGCGCTCAAAGTACAGTACACAACAATATTCTTTATTTTTTAGTTGAATGGAATAATGATTAGGGGACCATTTTGAACATAGCAACTACAAGTTACAAGTCACAAGCTAGTAAACAGTCCCTGTAGACAACTACTATAACTACTATATACAACAATATGTAAAATGTGTATTATCTTCATTATAATATTCAGTATTTAAAGAATAGAGGGCCAGTATAAGAAAAAAAAATGTTTTCGCACATTAAAAATTGAGACACCATTTATAGTGACAACAATCACAATATATTTAGAATGAGAACATTTGGACACAGGATGGTGTAAAGTCTCACTTCAGCAGGGCTGTTAAAAGCATTTAAATTGTCTCTCCTGTTCATACTGAAACTGTTTTTGAGTCATGTCTCGCCTGTCACTAGTTGAAGCATTTTAATTACACATTAGAGAGAGGTGACTGATGTAGGCGTGTGCCATGGCTAATTTCATGGATTTGAGCACATCTCACTCTTTTATACAGCTCATTCCAGCTCTTAAAGGGCCACACTATTATATCTTTCTGTTCTTCACCACTATATTATAAAAGTGTGCTGCAGTGAGCTACTTATCATAGCTGTTATGGCCTGCAGTGCTAAGCCCAGGGACTGAATTAATAAATTGTGGTACAGGTGTCCTTGAGTTTGAAACACTGTCGGAGACACTTCCAACACTTCTTTTATGCCTGAATAAAAAGAAACAGGCAAAGACTTTATATCAGGGCACATGGGGTTAGAAATTCTCAGGTATTGAGGTTTTATGAGGAGATTTATAAACTTACTGAAGTGCCTCTTTGTTGCGGTGAATCAAGTTAATTAAGACAGTTCTTTTAGTCACATTATTAGACTAAATCAGACAGCTAAGTGTAAGGGTGAAAGATACGTTGAACTCTAAAAAGTTTCATATTTCTCATTTTTTCTGATTTTTTTTTTTCAATTATGTTATACTTTCAAAGGAATATGTGACCTTTAAAATATGTATCTCAAATCATTTGAAATGCTTTAAATATCCTTTAATCCTATACCCAATAAGCCCTGAATTAAAGCATATTTCAGTGTGAGATAGTCTTCTCACAGCTACTATAAAGTTCCAGTAAAGCATCAATCTTTCTAAAGTGGTCACATTATGAAAAGGCTTGCTATGAAGGCTGTAAGTGATCACAGCCAACTATCTGCCATAATTTTGACACAAGCAATACAAAGATTAACTATGACAGACAATGGGGAGATCTACTGAAATAATTATAACAATTATTTCTCCATCCCTCACCTCTTATTATGGTAAGCAGTATTGTTTACAGTGGCACTTGAGCACTTGGTGCCTTCTGTTTTGAAGGCAACTGACAAGCCAATCGTCTTGCTACAGATGAGTTGTCAGTTTATTAGCAACTCATCGGCCAATTTGTTTGAACACCTACGGCATCGGTGCACCTACCGCATTGACTACCACAGGACCACCACTGACCGCATATTATTTGTGTGGTGGATTCACAACACAGGAGTGATACACAGTAGTGGGATGTTAATGTGTGCTGCACTGGTACGACTAAATCAAGCACTGTGATGCCAAGGCAGGCTATGGATACACAAATTGTCAGTATTATTTTATAAATGTGGACAAGCTTTTTTTCAACTAAAGTGTAGACTGTAGCTAGAAAAGCGCTGTCCTTGAACAATCTTTAATTTGGCTTGACAAAGCCAGCTAATAATGCTGCAAGAGGTAAAGCAGTTTCAGAACACTGGTGATTGTTTTTGGTAATTTAATTACATTTATATAGTAATTCCAGGTAGTTGCTGTGGTGTTGCTATGAGGTTGCTAGGGTATTCCAGATGGTTGCTAAGGTGTTGCTAGACCATTGCTATGCTATCCCAGGTGGTTGCTAAGATGTTGCTAGGCCATTGCTATGGTCCCAGGTGGTTGCTAAGGTGGTGCTAGGCCATTGCTGTGGTATCCCAGGTGGTTACTAAGATGTTGCTAGCGCACTTATATGATGGTGACATAAGAAAAATGTCCAAAATTATTTGGTGGTAATGTATACTGATATACAAAGGGGTAATAATAAGGGGTAGAGGTATCAGCATAATAAATTATGTAGGTAATTTAACCATAACATGGTATTAAGTAGAAAACATACAGTAAGTTGACTTTTTCCAAAAAAAACCTGAAATGTTGAGAAAAATAACACATGTACACAAAAATTTTGTGTCATGTGACGTGATTAAAGAAAACATTTTTATCACTACAAGTCAAAAATGTGACGGGAGCATGCTTCTAGGCAGCAAAAAGTACAAAATTAGTTTATGCATTTTCATTTTATTTCCTCAAAGTCAATAATAATATAGCTATTGTCACAGCTGAGTGGAGAATACCAAAAATATCTAGCAAACAGTGGTCCTGTGGTCAGAGACTGAAGGGCTAGAGAAGGACTAACACAAATTCATGGAAAAACATGAGCTATAGTCTCTAACTGTACACCAGCAAAGTGTACCAACAAGGTTGATGTCCTATATAATGTCCAGTATGTTTGTTAAAAAGAGTGTAAGAACGGCGCACCACCCAAATAACATCTGGGCTGTGGTGGTTCTGTGGTGGTGCCTTTCCATTGATGGATGGGGTTGAGGGGGGGCTGAAAATTGTGCAGCAATAGGTGGGCAACAGGCAGGTATGGTAAAGCTACAAAGCATACGAAGTGCTAGGTGTTTCAGATAAAATGGCCAGTGGTTGAAGGCACAACACAGGCGTACCTAATAAACAAGCAAAGAGTATGTTGGGGGATATGCATAAGTCAGTAGAGGGGAGGGGGCATGCACCTCTAATTTCAATATTACTGTAGATGGTGATTCAGAGTTAAAGTGAAGAACAGAGGGATCATGCCCTGCTTGCTTCACATCCCGCGTGCACCGCGCAGCTCCGGCACTGCGGAGAGCAAAAAGCGAAGACGCAATTAAGATGCGTAGGATTAATGCAGTGCCCTGCTCCTGAATAATGAGAAGGCAATTAAAAAGCCAATTAAGATGCTAAGTCATAAAAGCAGAAGGAGCGCTGAGGGTCAGATTACGGGGGTGGGGGAGGGGGGCTGAATCCCAGCTGAACGCTTGCTCAGTCACACCACACAGAAAATGAGTCCACAATTAGAGCAAGAGTCCTTTATCCACTAACGTGTGACGACGGCATTATCTGCGACACCAGTAAGCAACGGACGGAGCACGTATTTTTTCTTAGATGTGGTTTGAATGCACCTTCTTAAGAATTCAGTGGTAAGGATTACAATGGAAACACAGTAATCTCAGTGCTTATGATTTACCCCTGTTGAAATATTTTGTGTTCACTAAAGCACGACTAAGCCATAAGATATAGTGCACTATTTGGGCTAGTATTTCATGATATGCGTGCCATTCTAATGCTTGAAATCGTAGTTTTAATAATATAAAACCAGTTTGTTGCAGATGTGCTTCATAGTTTTCTAATATTTAGTTGTATAGACATGTTAGATGTGTCCAGAGTGATGAACAGAGCTGTATAAACTGAGAAAGCTGTATAACATTGTGAATTAATTTATGATAGATGTAATATTTAAAAGGCCAGAAAAAATTGTGCCTAAATTGTGGTGATCTTGAGGCAGAGAACTTGACAATGAACAACTATAAATAGGTAATTACAATATATTATTTTTTAGTGTTGCACCAAAACGAATTTTTTGGACAAAACCGAAACTGAAATTCAGGACACACTTGGCTAAAAAAAATGAAAAAAGCTGAAAATAACAGTTTACATAAAATAAACGATGATTACAGTAAAAATAATTACAGTATGTAGAACACAGAATGTGGCATGTAAGTACACATCCTTGACAACAGAGATGGTCATCCAAGGCAATTATTCATGTTTTTTAGTAATGCTTTGTGTTTTGGCTGCCATTTATCATTTCTTTCATAATTTCTAAAACTGTAGCTACAGATGGCATCTACAGGGGCTTTCCTTTCTGCTTTGGTTGTTTTGCTGTATTCTACATTTCAAGCAGGATGTCATGTTTTCAAATGGTGTATCAAACATGTGATGGAGAAGTTCTTGATCATTGTGTCCTCCCAGCATAAACACTGATTTAAAAATGTCTTGTTTAATGGCCCTCTTAGAAACTGTAGTTCAGACAGTTTCACAGTTTACTGTTTGATCGTGTCTACACCGATCAGTGCAGGAGACCCAAGAAATCAAACAGTGTTTTTATGATTATTTCTCTGTTTAATAGTCGAAAAACAAAATCTGAAAGTGGGTTTTGGCCATTTGCAGCCTGAGATTTTTGGTGGCTGAAATTTCAGTGCATCCAAATTATTTATCATTTAATAACTTCTTGTTAACAACAATCTTTAACTATTAAATTAAACATCTGTAAATACTTTCTGATGTATTACAAGTCATTTTAATCTACACAACACAAGTTGCTGAGTACAATTATTATTAGTATGACAAGTGATTCCAAACTATTGAACAGCAGTGTATGTCATGTATTCTATACAGCTGTATGCAAAAATATGGGCACCCATATGGGCCTAAATTGGCCAAATAATGAATTTTGTTGATTTCTGAAGTGAAAAGAAGTAAACAGCTTCTGCAGTGGACTAATTTAAATTATTTATTTCTGCCAACAGTTCTTTATGTTTGATTAACTTAATGAAATAGTAATTGTGGCATGTGTGAAAGTTTGGACACCTTACTAATTCTGTACTTAGTAACACCGTTTTTGGCAGATATCACAGCTTTGTAAAAGCTTCTTGTAGCCAGCTAGGAGTCTTTCTTTTTTTATTTTAGAAGTTTTCACCCACTCTTTCTGGCATGATGCTTCTAGTTATGTGATATTTTTGGGTCATGTTGCATGCGCAGCATGTTTAAAATCTACCTCCAGACTTTCATTCCAAAAGAGTCCGCTTACATTTCTTGAATAGTCTATGGTAGATGTTGAGGTAATATTGTCCTGTTATAGAAGCCAGCACTGCCTAACCAGCCCTAACAAGTCAATTAAAGCTTAATGAATTAAGCTCTCAGCTTTTTCAACTAACTTTTTGCTGATTCTACCATAATTATTTTGCTTTCCTGTTTTTTAAGTCAGTCAAATAGATTGATAGATAAGTGTGTATTAACATTTGCTTTTGCGTTTTTTAAATAGTTATTTACTCCTTTTCGCTTGAAATATAAACAAAGTATGCCGTTTGACCAGGGGTGCCCAACTTTTGCATACAACTGTAGAGAGTAGGGATCCATTTGAGTTTTAGTCTAAACGATACTAGCACGCCTCTCTTTCTGTTGTCTTTTCAGGCACATTCTGCATCATCTCGTTGTGCACCTGTGTGGCGGGGATTAATTTCGAGTTGTCTCGTTACCCACGCTACCTGTACGGGCTTCCGGATGACATCAGCCACGGCTACGGCTGGTCCATGTTCTGCGCCTGGGGTGGACTGGGCCTGTCGCTAATCGCCGGCTTCTTCTGCACGCTGGCGCCCTCCGTCCAGCCGCTCCCTCGCTCCACCTGCCCCAAGTCCCGGCAAGAAAACGGCACGGTGTGTTAAGCGGAGGCCTCCCGGGGCGCCACGTCCACCATAAAGCCACTGCGCGGACATATACTCTGTATATGTCACATGAGGAACATATACATAGTAAGACAACTTGATGACCCAAACCATGCGTTCATTTCAAGTCATTTCTAATCTCACCGACCAGGCCACAGATGCCATTTTTGTGTGAATTTGCAAGTGTCTTGATCGTTCAAAGAAAAATAGATGAAAATTTAACAAATATGTACTACTCTAAGGCGGTGTATTGGTGGACTTCTCCTGAGATGCCTGAGAAGTGGAGACATTAAAAAAGAAAGGCTTCACTTTGCAGATTATTTCCCTGCCCTCAAGAACTTTGAGAAGGGCAACATAAAATGGCAACAGAGACTTTGTACATCAGTATATGAAAAATACAGAAGCATGGAGCTCGACAGGTTTGTGACAGAAGTTCCTAGATGTTTTGTCTTTGTCTCCATGTCGCTAAATTGGTGCTTTGGGACTGAGAAAAGGTTCCAGCACTTGTGTGGGTTTTTTTTTTCTTGCGCATTTAGAGAACACCAGGGACGGCCACTGAATGGAGACAGTGCCAATTATGTGAAGGCAACAGTTCACAGTGGTTGCAGAATGCAGGCGAGAGAGAAAACTTTCAGAAGCAATGGATTCTGCGATGCAGAAACACGGATATAGATGTGAACGGGTTCAGGTTAGTCTAAAGTGTCAAAGATCAACACTTGACACTGGAGACTACCACAAGGCCTTTAGGGTGCACCTAAAAGATCGGTACTACTGAACACACACAAGTTGACGTTTCTAAGAGAAGAACATTTTGAGGAACGGAACGTGTCTGCTGGTGCCAGTATTTCTCAACTGCTGTATAGCAAATTGTAAATAATCCTCCAGAGAAAACAAAAAATCATTACCATGGGGACAGATTTTAGAGCATTTACTTTCCCCTGGGAGGGAGTTCCATTCTTCCATTCTCAAATGGGATCAAACATTTTTAACATGGTGGTCCACCGTTTTTTGTGTGCTTTTGTTTTCTAAAATTGACGAGTATCATGAATGATTGTGTGCGTGAGTATCTGTCCTCCATTTAGCTCTCATAGATAAATGTGTTGGAGGGTGAGTGTTTCTAGCCTCTGCAGAAGAAAAAAGAGGAGAGGGAAAAACAATGCTGTCACAAAAAATAACACAAACTCAAAACCTGCCTTGGGGGAACAATAGGTAGGTTCTTTGATGAACAGAAGACGACTAAAAAGGAAAGATGCCATATCCTGTTTAAAAGAACTAAGCCCCGAGTTTCTGGAAGTCACTCCTGTAGACAGAGCTCGCGGAGATGGAAGGAAGAAGCCTCAGCATCACAGCGTTGCTGCCTTAAGCTCGTCTGTGAGGTGGCACTTATTCCATTTGATAGGAACACACGCTGACTCTCTTCTGAGAGCGCTCGCTAAAGAAGCCCTCATTTGATGCTAGTTAATGTGATGCTCCATTGTAATGGGGCTTTCTGAAAAGACATGGTGTTTGCTAAGGGTGCACAATATGTTGGCAGCAGATAAATTCTATTATATATTGACAATAAATGGGAAAATCGGCTGTATATTGACATTACAGCCCATAAGTTAGCATCCTGTTTTTAGCTTACGCATGCACTGATAAGTAGACCCTAGTGCTGATCATTTCCATTCTTTTCAACTCATTAAAACAGATAGCATTGTGGATAACACCACCAACCCTCCCACAGAAGATTATTACACTAATAAGAGTCCTTGGGCAAGACTCTCAGTGCTCCATTCAGCTACCTTTGTAAGTGGCTCTGGAATTAAAATTAGTGTACTAAATATATACATAAATATAAATGTTTACAACAGCTTTTACATCTGATTTAGCTATGTCATGGCTATCTAAAATTAATCAGTAGCTAATTATTGGTTCCTATTATCAGCCCAGATATTCTGCATTGCCCCATCGCTAGCATTTGCGTGCTTCTTGATTACTGTAGACAAAGGTGATTGAGAAAACGTGGCTCGAAATGCAAAAAAAAGCAACCTCGAAATGGAGGATGAAAGCACTCATTAAATAAAGCACAAGCTTAACACAATCGCTAAGCCCTTAACGCTATTGGGTCCTTTTGATCCCAGATCAAGCCGTGATGCTCACACTGATCTGATTATATTATTTCTCCCCTGATCACCGCAGCATTAATTTCATAATTTAATATCCATGCTTCTTCATTGTACTTTTCTGTGAGAACATTTCAAGTATTCCAGATATGCAGTGCGTAGTGTCGCCCTGCTCACATTAAATCTCAGATGGTGTCCTGAATCCCAGCCTGGCCCAATCATAGGCTGGGGTGATACTGTAGCATGCCTCTGTTTGTGTAACTACTAATCCAGGTGCTCATCCCTTCCTGTAATCATCACAGCTGTAGCTCCACACAGGTGACGTAGTTACACAGCACAGAAAAGAACATTCCTGCCTCCACAAGCCATTTGGGATGCAGGACTATTTAATGGACAATAACTGTAACATGTTTCCCTGTATGCAGGTACTTAAAAAGAACAGAAAATCTGTTTACTCAAAACACACTTACAATAACAGCCAATGGGCAATTGGAGAGATTTGGCTGAAAATTGCTAGAGTATTCTCCTATTTAACAAATGGACCTTCTGCATCTGTAAATGCAGCGTTCTAGTGCTGAATAAAATTAGGCAATATCACAATATCTTCTCAGTTCATCACATGATCAGATGATATTGACGTTAATAAAGTAGGGCTGGCCTGAATGATTTAAATACTACAGTATTCATTCATTCATTCGAGTATTTGTTCCTTTATTTAATATTTGTCTTCACGATGGACGTGATATTAGGCTATTACTAAGCCCCCCCCCCATGATTTCACAAATAACTCCTTTTCCTTGAAAGACTAAAGCAAGATATGTTAGTGAAAGATATTAATATGGTAATTAATGTATAAACAAAGAGAAATACAAGTTAATTTGCTTGGCTACCGTTGTGAACTTCAGATGAAGAGCTGAGTGTGGCCTCTGTCACTCATTCAGCCACTGCAAAGCTGAGAAAGGGAGATAAACAGCTAATACCTATAAGATATGGACAGCTATAAATCAATACGAATTTAGTATGAAACACTAAAATTGCCGGGTTGTCAGTCTAGGGTGAGATTTATGTTCGCCTAGCAAAGTTGTTTTACTCATGACAGAACTGAACTTGGGCCACTGAGTGGGCAATGGAATACAAACTTGGCTCCATTTTGCAAATTGGCTGAACCCTGGGGTGCTAATGTTGTTCTGAAAAGTGTTGGGGCAATGCTATGGGACTAAAGCTTACATCCAGCAAGTCAAACGTTTTTGTCTTTACTGACTATAACTAAACAAAACAACAATGTATTTGTGGTATAATTAGAATTTTTAAACTGTGATTGGCAGCTATGTAATAATTGATCTGACAACTCTTTTGCAAGACAGCTGTGTACTTTTTTTGACAACCATCACGTAACTCCCAAACTTTCTTGCGTAATTTCTACAAGTGGAGGGGACATGTCCTCCCCATTCACACCAGTGGTTAAACTGACTATGAGAACACATCACTAAAGATTTAACTGCTGTGTCATCACTGCTATCTAGGTAAGAAGAAATCCAGTCAGACTCATCTGTCTCCTTAGCAGACATAACATTACAACATGCGTTTCTCAGCGTCTTTGGGATGAATTTTTCATTTATTATGAATTAGGTAAACAGTATTGTTTTTAAGGGTAGTACTGAAAAGAGTATTTCATAGTTCATAGTTCAGAAAATGAGAATTCGAAGCCTTATTCAGGCCAGCCCTATATTAAGGTTTCTGAACCCATGAGTACGGTTACTCTATGCTATAAAAAAAAATGCAGCTTTTTTGGATTGGACTCTGTTTTTGTAATAAGTTCTCTTAAATTTACACCAAGGGGAAACACAGAATTTTAAACGTTAAAAGTTTTATGTATTTTAAACCACCCTTTCAAAGCAATCTCAAGCATCCAGCAAATGACTTTTACAGTTAACTTTTCAACAGTTTGTTTTTTTGTTATCTACCAGTACTACCAAAAATTAATATTGTAGTGTGACCCCAATACCGGTATACCAGTACAGACAATATATCACCCAGCACTACTGTGTTTAGTGCTAAAGTGGGAGTCAACTCTGGGGTAGACTCTGCAAGCTTTGGCCTCTACCCATTTGTGGCCTAGATATTTAGGGAAGGCAGGGACGCTCCACAGGACGCTAGCTGATAAAGCAATTGGGCATGAAATTACATTAAGTGGTTATACTTCAAGAGATTTTTTTTTTGGCATGCACTTCCCACAACCAGGCGCTCACTAAAATCTGCCTTATCCGACAGAAAAACTCCACGACCCAGCCCACACGGAGTGTCCCCGATTACTATATTCTCACAACACACAACATCTGGGTCATGAGCAAAGTAAATAAAGAAACAATCCGCTCTCAGAAGCATCTTGCATTAAGCCCATCTGGCCTTATATAAGATAGTGTTCCTTGACACACTTAAGAAGAAAAATATTTATTTCAGTCCGCAAGGATTACGCAACCAGGCATAGATGTAAATGGGGTCAGTGGCTGCCTGCACACAATGCACGTCAAAAAGCAGGTAAAAAGCAGGCCAGAGGCTGCAGGCCAGCACCAGTGTATCTGCCTTTCCTTACCATGGAAATGAATATATTAAAAAGGAATTCCACCAATTTTTCAAAAATATCTCCAAAATTAAATGGTTCAGTCATTCAGAGTAGTTTGATGCGATGGTGGTGATAGGAACCAGAAGTTTGAAACTTTTAATGCCTCTAAAATGCCTCTTTGAGAAGGTTTTGGCTTAAAACAGAGGGACATGCAGGACATATTCATTGTATTTACTAACCAAAACCACCAGTGAACCTACATGTGTATTCACTGGTGGTTTTGGTTAGTAAATACAATGATTATATTTGTGCTGTAGACATCGTGACCCCTGGTTCCTATCACCAGCACTGTAAAGAAATCTGAGCTGATAGATTTCTCTACAATGAACTATTTCACATCAAACCACTCTAAGTGACTTTGTTTACATCTCAGTGATTGAATTATACATAAATTCTAAAAAAAACATGGAATTCCTCTTTAAGGCATCATATTTCGGCCATTCCCCGCCCTCTTCATTCACTTATCCTGAAAAAGGTTTATACGAGGCTAGAATAAGCAGGTGTACTTGGGGACAGGCACTGGCATCTGATGCCAGAGGGCACTTTTAAAATTTATTCCAGCTGGACTTGAACGACATCAGTTCCGGGAGGATTTGTTGGACAGGGATTAAATTGCATTTCAGAAGCTTAACATGGAACAGGACAAGATTGTGGACAAAGCAGATCAGGCAATCGTTTAACTACAGGGTCAGCAACCCAAGGCTAACCATAATCAATATAACACAGATTCACACATTTATGATGCTACTATACTGAAGTGACTACTTTATAAAACCAGAAACACAGCACATGTAGTATTTTGAATAGATTACAGCTTCATTGAAACAAGACTGGCAAAGAAAAAAATCTCATATCTTGCCATCTCTCCATCAAATCTAAGTCAGTGTTTACATGAAAGCAGCCAAACATGTTAGCATTGTGTCTTTTTTGTTTGTTCATTTGTTTGTTTGATGGAAGTTTGGGTATAAAAGTTTGAATGAGTGGGGTTTTTTCTTCTTCATATGTTGTAAAATAGTAGCAGAGTCACGGAAACTGCAACTTTCATTTTTATGGGACTTCAAATCTAAGGATTTATCAAATCTTTTTCATCAGTAATGTGTCTGTTGCGTAAATCTAAAAATAAAACTGTACAAAACATTGAAAAAAAATCCTGGAAATGTTCAAACTGTGGAATGTAAAACCATAATAAAATCTCATTGGTGTGTTTATCTGTATGGCATGTTACATTACACACACACAAACAACACTGATGTCCTCACACGTGCTGAGCAGGACTCCAGTCAAGATACGTCACTCTAGAGCTAAAATACGCCATTATTTAATAGTACTGACCAGAGAAAGCATAACTGACTGATAATAGCAATTGTAAGCAAGTTTAACATTTATTCTACCATCCAAAAGTCAGAGACCGCCCTTCATTTATTTCAGTTCCAATCAAAACAGCTATTAACTACAAGTCAGCCTAATCCTTTTTCAGCATCAGGAAAAAACAAGCAGAAAACATATTTAATGGAAAATTCCACAGAAGTCTCAACAACTACATAGAACATCATATTTGCAGTGTTTAGTGTTTCCACCCTTTGCCTTAATTACAGTTTCCATTCTTTTCAAGAGACTCGCTTTCATCAAGAAATCTGCAGGGATATTTTTCCACACCTCCGAAGTTCAGTCTTAGAAGTTGGTTGCACTTTCTGCTTTTCACTAAAGTAAATCTTATAGATTTGGACTCAGAATCAGAATTAAATTAGAATCAGTCTATAAAACCTTACTCTACATCTCAGATGTCCAGTTTTGATTTTTTAGTGCAAATGTTCTTTTTTGTCCATTTGTTTTTCTCAGTAAAGGCTTCTTGGCCGTTTTACATCCTTTCAGACTCATATTGCTGAGTTGTCGTCTCACAGTGGAAGGATGGACAGAAACACCTATGAATTTTTTCAGTTCTGAAGCAGCAGTGGAGCTTGATCTTCTCCTCTCTCCCAAAGATGAAAGCTTAACTACTGTTTATCTGATGGTGACAGTTTGGTGATCTACCAGGTCTTGCAGGTTGTTAGGAGTCTTGCTTTCTCTGTATCTTTTAATCTTTTTTTTTTTTACTTTGGTTTCGTAAACTTCAGATTTTTCACTTACTTTCCCCGTCATTATGAAGTGGATTATCTTACATCAAATCCCAGAAATATCTCCTTTAGACATTTTAGATGAACATGAGAAAGGAATTTGCAAGGCAACTAAGATGAGTTTGGGTAGTTGATTGTGTAAATGTTAGTGTCTGTTTAAAGGGGAACATAATGTGAATGAGATCTTTGGCTTTTGTTGGGAGGACACAGCTGTAACTGGTTGGGTTTAAGATTGGAAGGATGGAAGAGTTAAAGAGGTAGTAGGTGCACGGAAGTGAACAGTGGACAAATTAAACACTGATAGATTTGATATAATACTTAGAGCTGGAGGCCTTTGTGTCATTTTCTGTTCAGTACACATTTCCTTCTTTGTTTTTTTCTGACACTGAAATAAATAACTTGTAAGTAGTGGCCATTTTGACAGAAAATTAAATAAATAGATAGGAAGTCTCTGTCTTTCACAGTCCTGCATGTAAATTTATGGTCATGGGACCTATAAGCTAATTCAAACAAAGCAAGTTGTCATAATACATAGACACTGTCATCTGATTTATTGGATATGTAGGTGGATAAGGACAAAATAAGACCAATTAACTAACAATAATAATAATAACACAATTGTTATAATGAGGTCCACATCAAACTGGAAATCGACTCTTCATGAAGAGGAATGGGCAAAAGACAGAAGATAAAGCTGCAAACTGGGTCTTGTTGGCTACAAGTACACTGCAGCAGAACAAAATGACTAATAGACTCATTTAAAGAGATGAAAAGCTCATGTTTGAGGCTTAATGAATTCTTCATGAAAGCATTTAGAATGGGTGCACTGCTATGAATACCCAGTGCTGATTAAGATGGGACAGCTCTTGATTTGTGCTCCAGAAGGCCAACGAGCTGGAGGCCATCTTCCGACCCTGAGCGCTCGCCATGCATTTGATTACCTATTTATTTCACTCGGAGACGCCACTTTGGCTCTGAAATACGCCATTAGGCTAATACTACACGACCCACCAGTGCAAGAATGAGTGAAGTATCCTCTAATAGTTCACTCACTCATTAATGCAGTTTGAACTACCCAGTCTGATAACTTTTTAAAGAGCATTCAGGTCACCCTTATGGGGTCTCAGGAACACTTCCTGTTCCTTTCTTCACATTAACAGCTCAACCAACTGCTCAAAATCAATATGTGTTTCCTGCACAGACAGCACATGATCACTCTGGTCTGACACACAGGTCTGTACATCATTCACCAGCCTGTGGGGGATGGGGGGGTTGCCAGAGCATCTGCATTTTGATTCAGAAAAATGAACTGTTATATCATGTAAAGGAAAAAAAGAGCTAAGACAAAGACGTTCATGCACTCCACAACGTTTAGTGGTTAATATAAACGTACATAACTAAGTGGAGGTTCTGTTTTACACACTTAAATGAGATTTTTGTGTTTAATTCAATGGTCAGGATGTAAACAATGTCAATCAGAGAGGGTAGATATGAAATGTGCTGTTCTAGAGAAACATATAGAGTCTGAATTGTTTACAATGACCATGCGTAGGACTAAGACCTGAAGGGACAGTGAGCTACAACACAAAAAGCTGTTGAAAGAAATGGCTACCAGTATGCTGTCTGATGCCTGAGACATTGTTTAATGACCGTTTAGAAATGAACTTTTTTGCCTAAATGTATTTTTTGAACGGTATTCTTGGTTGAGAGGTATATGCAGGCTGATGTAAGGCCATATAGTCCCCAAATATTTTTTCTCCAAATTTTTTACCACTATTTTATCATTACCAACTTACTTATACAAACTCAAGTGTAGGTTGATTGGTTCATTTTGGATAGTAAATAAAATGGCTATATTTGTGTTGGTGATATCGTGACCCCAGCTCCTATCAACACCACTGTAAAGAAATCTGAATCAGTAAGTTTCTCTACAAATGCACCATTTCCCAGCAAAACACTCTAAAATGACTTGTTTACATTTCAATGATTTAATTGTGCAGAGAAATTGAAGAATCAGGAGTTCCTCTTCTGAAATCATTCTTGTCTTGGATGTACAGTTCAAGGAAAATCCTTTATTTGCAAAGGTTCTGTAAGCTTTAAATAGTTTTTTTCACACTCATTACTTACACAAGTGTTTCTTCTAGGGTAGGGGTGCCCAACCCTGGTCCTGGCATTCCACCACCCTTTTATTCTGCTTAGCCTGCCCATTTGGTATTTCTTTATATAGACTGAGGTATGTTCAATATAACAAACTATACTTTTTTTTACTTTTAGAATCATCCTTTATTCACTTTATTACAGTTATATTATGTGGATTTGAGGTTACACACAATGTTTAAACCTCAGATTTTGAATCAAACTACTTTCATTAGCTCAGCTGTGGTCAGTTAGCATCAGGGTCAGTCACAACCCCTTTCAGACTCTGAGCTATTTTGTGGTTTCTGCCAAGATGCTCAGCTCTCTAAAGTGGACATCTTCCACCCTCAAGAAGTGTTTCAGACACGAGCTACTCAGTGCTGCTCACTATATTAAGTGTTAGATAATTTATGGTCCCTTTTGACATGTTAGTTGTTTAATTAGCATTTTATTTCCAACAAAGGGTTATCAGGTGCAGAAAATATCTCCAACCCAAAGTTTTCTTGGGAGCCACCCACCAGAAGCCGAAACTTCAAAATCATTTTCTCCTGCAACTGCATTTTTGTTCGAAGCCCAATTTGGTGGGAGAACTGCTCACCTGGTATCTCTACTGGCAGCTTTGCACACTGTACCAAATACTCCACAGCACAGCCAGAAAAGTGGGGAAATTTTTCATAACCACGTCTTCTCTAGAAGCACAGGCTTGGCCTGAAGTTAATTAAAAAGTGTATTAGAAAATATTAAAACTAAACATCTTTTGAGAGACCCAAATTAAGTGGAAAGGGGGACCTGTCAACTTACAAAGGGGTGTTTTTACCATTTGTCATCCCCCCTCTCAAATCGGTTACACCTCTAGTGCGTATTAACAGTTTAACATATGAACACAAGGCACATTTAGCCACTCTTTATTTTTGGCGCATGAAAAAATATATTGTATCATTATCGAATCCAGTTTTGTGTATGGGTACACCCGTACAATACTCTAACTTTCTTTTTTTTTTGTCACAAGTCTTCTTTCCAAAGTTGGCTGGTGTGTTTCAGCAGTTCCTTTGCAGAGGGCTGTATCAAAAATGCCTTTGTGCACTTTATGATCCTATCAATAAACATAAGCTCATCAACACTGTAATAGAAACAGCCCCACATTGATGTGCACCTAAACACAGAGCACCTCTGTGCTCTGTACAGCGTCCTACAGTGCAGTCCAGTTGAAATTCTTCTCCAGAATCTCTCCACACAAGTCCCCCATCAGTTTGATGTTGATGCTAAAAGTAATTTTGTCCAAAACAAATATTTTGTTAAACATTTTATGAAGTAACCTAAAGAACTTCATTAAAGTTTACCAATGGTCAAATGGTTAAAGTGTTCAGATACGTTTTGGGGCCACTATACATTTACAGTTCTTTTGTAAAGTTAGTCTAAATTGGCCTCTCTCCAAACCATGTAACACCATTAGCCTATACATATCCTTGCAATGTTACCCCTGCAATCTTTTTTCTACTCCAACTTCCACTAATAGTGTATAGATAATATTAGCTGTCTCTAGTTCCCGTCCTCTGCCTCAAAATATTCACTTGGATCACAGGGATTTCTCAGTGATTCATACCCTCAGAAACCACTCACAGTGCCTAAGGAGTACCTAACCCTCATAAAGGCTCTGTAAGATCATGCTGAACATGCTGGAAAGAATGTTCAGAGTCTCAACTCAAACAGTGGGTTTCCAACAACTCAGAGCTGGGATATATGCACTTTCAGTTTCAGATGCTCTTTCAAAATGTAGATGTGTGCTTGTTAAGGCTAGAGCTCCAGCACAGTACTCCGGTAATTTCCGCTAGATGAGAGCAACGGCTCTGATCTGCTGTGCGCCAAGAGCTGAGAGCTCCGAGCGAACACCTAATGCACTCTTGACATTATCTGGCAGCTGCTGCCTCCTCACTCACATTAAGCTAATTGGCCTACATTGAAAGCATTTGAAGCCCTCTAGTTCAGAGGTTGGTGCTGACGCCCACTAGAGCAAGCAGTGAGAACCTCCGCTCTGTGATCGTCAGCCCTGACAAGGGCTACGAGAGCTTGGTTTCACACTGAACCAACATAGATACTATTGACTGATAATGACTGACCATCCGTTCAAGAAAAGATCTTTTTGAATGACTCAAATGAGAATCAGTTCACAAGTACAGACGAACCACAAAATAAGCTTAGATAAAAACCACACTGTTAAACAAGATGGTTCAAAGGGGTCTTTAGTAAAGACAATGGTTCCAATATAGAACCATGAACACTCAAGGAACCATTTGCATGATTAAACGGTTCTTTCTATGGTGAAATAGTTCTTCAGACTGACATAAAATGTGTTATATATGGTTCTATATAGCACCTTTTTGAAATTGTATCTATATAGCACCAAAATGGTTCTGCTTTTGTTACAATGTCAAGCTTTTTGGTGTCCTGGTGCAACACATTCTCGATCATCTGATGAACTATTTCACCATGCAAAGAACCATTTAATCATGCAGATGATCCTTTGAGTGTTCATGTTTCTAAATAGAACCACTGTCTTTACTAAAGAACCTTGAAGAACCATCTTTGTTAGGACGGCAGCTATGTGAGGACTTCTCAGTTAGCCTGGAGCGTACCTATATTCCCAAGGCACTATGTTCTAAAGGGCCCATGTTCCTTCAGCTCTTTATATAATCACACCTCAAGATATCAATAATATACATTAAGGAAACTTATATAAGGTGTTTCTAAGGTCATGGTTTGGGTCATGGGGTCACACAAAGGTGATAGATAGAACATCAAGGAGCAGTCTCCATAATGTGAGGTGTAGAATACATACACTATGAATAACTGCTTTATCTGGTGTAAGTGTGGTGAATTTCCTTTCTTTTTTGCTGTAGCCATTAGCTAGTGATGGGCAAGTAACAACACTTGCATCAGCAGGAATGCATAACAGATGGAGCAGTTACAACATTAAGCCCCGTTTGAAAGTGGTAAATCAAATATCAAAGATTTGAAAGAAGTAATAAAAGAAATGAAAGCTGCGTCTGATCACAACAATATCTGGAAAAGTTCTGCCCATAAAGAACTTGAGGAAACATTATGGAGACAACTTGGGGCTGAAATATGGGGACATGGGACTATAAGTTTCCTGGAAAATTCAATGGATACACAAGCAACCCTGGGAATACAGGGCTGGTTTCCAGAAGTTTCAATAGGAAAACAAAGGGTCCAGGTAACACAGGACCCTGCGAACACTTAGCCCTAGGAACATAGGGATGGCCCAGTTCGTCAGATAAGGCATGCCCAAAATCAAACCTTTCCAATAGGAGTAGAGATCAGGAACACAGCCCTCAGTTTACCCAGCTTCGCTGAGAAATCCCACATCTTCCTTCTTATTTAGACTACATGTAACACAACAGTTAAACTGTGGCCTAAACCTTATTTGTGGATGTCCAGAGATACCATCCCGAGAAAGAAAGAAAATGAACAGTTAAATCAGTGGGACTTGTGTGAAAGAAATCAGACTATTCTGTCTGTCTGTCTCACGTAGTGATGATTCAACAGGGTTCAGTCTACGTAGCGGCTGGCAAGACTAGCCAGAAAAAGTTTTTGGCAGACATCTCTGCCATATGTGTCGATTCACAGGAAATCAAATGAGAAGAGAGGAGTGCGAGTCGGTTTGTGGCTGTCAAACAAGGAGCAGGGATTAAAAGATGGGAAAGAGCTCAACACCAGCATCGTTATTTTCTCTTTTATTTTAAGATTGTTTCTTCTTCCAGACCTGCAAAGAGGTACAGTTCCTTTAGCTCTTCATTTTAAACTTTCTCATTGTTTTAGCATTGAGTAAAACCCATAGTTAAACTGTATTGGTTTCTTCTTGAGATCATAAGTTAATTATTTTCTCTTGAATACTGTTGAATATTGAACAGTTGGCAAGAACCTACACAGCTGATACAGGATTAAGACCATTAAAAGAAAATTAAAGGAGGCAGATGGAAGGGAGAGTGGTTTTCATACGGCCCTCGGTGAGATCCTGTGTTGAAAGAACTTTGTGTTGCCTATCAGTACTGCTATCCCAGCTTTCACCATCAGTGTGGCCATTATCGCTTTGTTTAAGTGTGAGAAACACATGATCTCTTTTCAGATGACACTAACATGCCTTTAAAACAAATTATCCCTGAATGTTGATCTTGAAATCAAATTACTAATTAAATAAAACATACTAAGTCATTTTCTCACACACCATATCAATCATAACTTGTACCCCGACATTTCTTTTGTCAGACACCCACCAGTGCACGAGAACTTGAGTGTTTGCCTCACTGATGCTACATGCTGAGAAAAGAGACATGAGCACTTTGCTTTGTTGCCATGTGTCTCCTCAAAACAAGTCTCCTATCTATATGGATCATATATCATACCCAGCAATGTGTCCCAGAACCCAACATCCATCTTATTTCCCTGGGGAATCTAACCCAAGAACACACAAACTCTTTTTGGATGTCCTCTTCAGGTAAGGGCAGCTGTGAAAGACACCACACGGTGGTGTCCTGTCCGCTACGCCTATCCTTTGCTTGAAGGGGTATTACAGTTCCCCTGCTCTTCAAAAGAGGCCTCAGTCGATTTTGCAATGCACCACCCTCTGATACAGAGGTTAAATGCAGAGCTGCAACTGAAAAGCCTCCTGTCCTGACCCGGTACCAGTCATTTGGTGGGAGGGTCAACGACAAAGTCCTGCTACCTAAAAGGCTGCACCCAGTAAAATGAAGCATGTGTCAAGGACCCAGCTTGTGTGTTTTTCTGTGTTTTTTTTCTTTTTTTTCTAAAGGCATGGCTTTTAAGGACCATAGCCACATTCTGAAAGGAGACTGTAATCAAACCCCCCCTTCCAAAAAAAAGCCTCTCTGTCACAACCAGGAAAATATAACCAAACATCTTCCAGGGAAGAAAAGCATTTCTGATTTTTTCCCCCCTTTCCTTATGCATTTGATCCTTCAGAACAGCAGCAAGTATGCTTTTGATTTAAAAGGGGGGAAGGCAGGAAAGACTTGATTCCTTAGAATCCCATGGCCTTAAGGACTTGTGGGAAGCAGATTCTTCTCTGTACAGGTAGACATACAACAGGTGCTGATCTTTTTTGGTATAGCTTTAAAGGCAGAAAAGCTTATTTCTGATCAAGATGCTCCATTGTTCAAATGGAATCTTCTCCAGGACTTTAATCCATTCACATTATTTTCATGATCTCCATACAATCATTCTTTGCCAATTCTTTCCCCCTAAACACTCCCCCATTGTGAATCTATTCAAATCTCTCATGCTGTGTTAGAGAATTTCTTTGCTTATGTGATCACACGCCCAGAATGCTGGGATAGAGCACTGGGACAACAAGAACAAAGACTAAACCAAGAAAAATGTGAAACCAAGAAAGATAAAATGAGCTCAAAAGACCAGAAGGAGGAAGAAAAAAAAGAATACATTATCTTATAATTACTTTGTTAATAGTTTTGTAATGTTGTATTGATTCGGCTTGCTGTGTTTGTTGGGTTTTCTCAGAGTAAAGGAAAGGGTGTTAGTTTCACAGTCCCTAATGTCGGTCCATGGCGGCACTCTGGAGCAGGTCTGTAGGGGCCTGGGCTGACGGTCTGAAGGCTGTCTGGAAGCCTGGGGGAGGTGAGTGGAACTGGCTGGCAGGGTTGGCCGACACCGCGGGTGGGTATGGGGCCCAGCTGGCTCTGTGAAGGGGGACCTGGGCCCCAAAGGGCGTGTTGTGAGGGGGCTGGGGGGGCACTGTGGAGCCAGAGGTGACGTCCATCTCTGTAAGGGCCTGCAGGGACTTGAGCCAGTGAGGAGGATTGTCGTCCTGAAGAGAGTCCAGACCGTTGCCCGATGACGCTGGGATACCTACAGGTGAAAAAAGAAGTAAAGCAAAGAAGTTCAAGTTAATCGAACCTCCAAATTCTGACATGTTGGTGTCCATTTACCTCTTCAAATCTATTCAAAATGCAGACCACCATGGAGGGCACTCAAATATATTGAGCAGCTATTAAGGGACTAATTACCATGGAAACAGGACGTAACTGGATATCTTGCTTGGTTAAAGGAAGTTAAAATGTTCCTGGCCCAGAGGTTTCGCTGCGAGTCATTAATTTCAAACCTCCTGCAGATGATGGATGTCGGCCGGCAGCCGCCACCAACACCCAGACAACAGACGTGACTTCCATGCAGATTGCAGCTTCAACCTCAGCTAGCTCCAGGCATTTTAGCCCAACCTCTATCTTTGTAATAACAAGCGGCACCAACTTGCTTAATTTACTGCCTGTTTACAACTTATATTTCACATTTGAAGAGAGCGTCTTTCTTTCATCTGAATGTTATCACAGTGACATCTCCCTCATCAAAGTACAGATGAAAAACAACTTGGTGGCAGGCATTCTAATGACGTTCTAATGTTTTCTGATGGAGAGCCATAGGGTCGCACTTGAGGATCAGTAAAGCTGGTATGGTATTACAGGCACCTTGCCAGTACTGCAGAAGCATGTCAGCTTTAGTTCTCTTGGCTGGGTTTGTACACTGTGTGGCCTGGTTAAAACTGCGAGAGAGAAAATTGATCTGGAACAGGTGCCCTCCTCTTCGACCTACAAAACACCTTTGCATTGCTGACATTTGTAGTGAAAAGGTTACAGAAATAAAATGTTTTGAATGACTAAATGCATTATTTGTTCCTGTTTCCTTGCAAGGCATTTTACGTGCCATTTGCCATTTGTTTGCAAAAAAAAAAAACCTAAATAACACAACAGTTCTACAAAATGTCAGCCAAGTTCTCTGTAACATGGGATTTGAGAATTTCAAGGACAGACTGGCACCAGCCTAAAAAGGGTGACTGATGAATTTTGTGCTGTGTGAAAATGATGAAACTACATCATCATACAACTAGTGTGAATGCAGATAATAAGCAAACAAGTTTAATATTTTACTCGCCCTACTCTTCATGAACATACGAACTCCTAACAGCTCCAGGCAGCATTAGAATGACCTTAATATCACATTGCACATAAACTCTTTTGACCTAAAAGAGACCCATGCTTATAGACAGTGTGGCAAATTAAAGTTTGCATATTGATATAAAAGGTTATATGCTTGCAGATGTCATTAAACTACAAACAAGAACAGCAAAATATTTCCTTAACGAATACAACAGATTCTTTTTGTAAATGGTAACTGAAGAAAATTGCAATTCTGACTTCAACTAAATCACTTCGAAGCCCCTAAGGAAATACATGTCATGTCAACTTATACTGAATTAAATTTCACTCTTTAATTAGTTGGACTGAAGTTATATTGCCTCATACCCTAAAAATGACACAGTTAACTGTTTCACTATCGCTATTCTAAGGTTCAAGAAGAAAAGTAGTGGACTACTTCCTTACTTAATTATTCTTACCCAGCACATAATCAATTACGACATACCTGTGATAATGGCAGGGTCCATCCAGCTTGCTGTGCCGTCCCAGCTCAGGCTGTGCGTGATACCCCCTGTGTGATTCATGCTGGACGAGGAGGACGAGGAGGAGGAGGAGGAGGAGGAAGACGAAGAATTTGGCAGCCCACCAAAATTTATGTTGATGTTTGGTAAAAGCGCTCGAAGGCCATCCTGCCACTCTTTGACATTTATACTCTCTACTGAACTGCTGTTTTCTAAAGAGAGAAGCAAAATATAGAGATGCATAAGGAACAGACAGGGGGCAAAACATTCTTCCAAATTAATTTCACTTTACATTTCATACATAATAAATAAAGGTCAGGTTGTAAAATTTTACACAAATAAACAAATGGACATTTATAGTAAGGAAGAGACAGTCAGCTTGTATAATACAGAACTTCTGCACCTGGACTCTGGCCAAAACAAACCCAGAGCCTTTTTGCATCAAAGCAGTAAGCACCTGAAGCTTTTGTCCACAAGGAGGTTTGTGTATGTGTGTTGGTGTGGGAACTGGGGGTGAGGACGTCAGTAAAGAAACAAACGTGAGGGAGGAGGGCATGGTGGTGAGGGATAACTCTAGTAAAACAAAAGAGGGGGGTAACAAACACACACTGAGGCTTTTCTTGACAAGGTGCGTCACACAGAACCAGCACTGCCTGCCAAAAAACAGAAACATTTACACATCGGGGGTCTAGTTATACCCTGTGGAAACATCTTCCTTACAAATACATAGCCAGAATATAAACAGAGTGGCTCCATCTGAAGCTCTACATTTCAGACTTTTTCCCAACACAACTATTTACTGAACCAGGTAAGACCACAGCTGTCTGCATGTTTGAATGAATTGATAAACTTGTGTGGAGTGAATATACTAAAGAACATCTGAAGGAAGCTAATTAGGATCCTTTTAACCTAATACTTAAACAAAAATTGCCTTCTGAAAAAATTTAATTTTTATGAGTAGAATGTTTAAAAACATTAAACACCTACCAGAAATTATAACTAGTCAAATCATTCAGTGACAGATACTGCTAACTAAGGAGTCTGAATGACCCATGTTCTTTGTCTAATGGTTAAGATGACGCAAAGACAAAAAGACTAAATGGAAAAAAAAAAACTAAGAAGTGTTAAACAATTTAAGTCATGCACTCAGAATTTCCCCCTCAATCTGCAATATGATATGCACCCTGCTTTTGACTTAAATGTGCATGTAAGTGGAGTGAAGCAAGCAATAACAATCACCTGTGTTGCCATTTGCATGCACAGATAAACAAGCAGTGTGATGTTTAATTCATGTAGATGGAACGAGAGCTGGTCTTAAAGTCTATTTCAGGTTGAGACGCAAAGTTGTTTGAAAGTGCCTGTAGCGAACAGAGAACTTGTAGGTTCCCTTCAATAAATATCACTTGTGTAGAGTACACTTGCCAACACATGCTTCTGCTTCATTGTGAGCACATTGTGCTTCCCTGATTTCTATAAACTAATGTTGAATTGGCAATTTTAGCAGCACAGCCCATATAGTCAAAATACAAAGGATTATTCATCTAAATTGTGAATACAACAATATTAGAATAAATCTTTAACATATTTGCTTTTTTGTATTTTGTTATAACATAACAGTACATTAACTGTTTCCATTCATAATTTGTTTAAGGGTTGATTATTTGATTAAGTTTTCATTCATCCATTCTGAGCAGAATGATCATAACACTGGTGTGTGAAAGACACACTACAGCAGACATAACTACAGGTATTCTAAAACACAGGTACTAGGTCTGCTGTCATGAATGGTGGTGAGGCAAATGTAGGTTTGCTATAAAATTTGTATGGTTAAGATGGCACACAACAGATTAGTAGAGTGTATGCTTCTGTGAACAAAAACAGCACCGAAAAAAATGTAACACCTCATCTTTTCTTTTTTGGTGTAAAGCATGTGGACGTGACTTTGAAAGTGACTCATTTACTCACAACCTCGTTCCCAAAAAGTTGGGACACTGCACAAAATGTAAATAAAAATAAAATGCAATGACATGGAAATGTAAACCCTATATTTAACTGAAATAGTACAACATATCAAATATTGAAACTAAAGTTTTTTGAAAAATATATGCCCATTTTGAATTTGATGCTAGCAACATGTTTCAAAAAAGTTTACCACTGTGTTGCATCACCTCTTTTTTTAAACACTCGGCAAGTGTTTGGGAGCTGAGGAGACCAACTGCTGTAGTTTTGAAAGTGAAATGTTCTCATTCTTGCTTGATATAGGATTTCAGCTGCTCAACAGTTTGGGGTCTCCTTTATCATATTTTTCGTTTCATAACATGTTCTCAATGGGTGAAAGGTCTGGACCATGGGCAGGCCAGTTTAGCACACTAACTCTCTTATTATAGAACCATACTGTTGTAATATGTGCAGAATGTGGCTTTACACTGAGTGCGTTTACACACACTTAATAATCCGATAACTGCAGAAAATCAGATTTTGTCAGTAATCCGATCAACGCGTCCTCTTGAGTAATCAGATAATGGGAAAACTCCAGGTCTACATGAGTCAGGCAATAATCGGATTTCTACTTTGCAACCAGCCAATGAACTCACAGAAGAAGACGTGACATAAACGTTACGTAAAACTCAAACTTCATGCCGTGTTTCGCACCACTTTACCTGGAAAATATGAACATCATCTGGAAGACGAATATTTAAATCCTTCATTTCGTGTTTGGTTTCAGCGCCTCTCAAAGTGTTTTGCTGCCATCTCGCGACATCCACTGTCTGTTCTCACACATGCGCAGACTGAGAAATCGGAGTACGAGTATCCATGCACTGAGAAATCTGATTACTGAGCTAAAATCCTGCTCTCTTTATCTGATTTCTTAATTGGATTTCTAGATTGGGGTACGGTGTTTACATGACCATTTGAATAATCGGATAACTGCAGAAATTATGATCAGATTATTGAGTGCATGTATACGCACTCATTGTCTTGATGAAATAAACAAGGCCTTTCCTGAAAAAGATGCAATCTGGATGGCAGCATATTTTGCCAAATTCTGTACATATTGTTAAACATCAATGGTGCCTTCACAGATGTGCAAAGCACCCATGCCATGGGCATAAATGCAACCCTATACCATCACGAATGCTGGCTTTTGAACCGCTAATCACAAGCCAGGTGGTCTTAAACCTGGAAGAGGCAATGTTCATGATTTCCAAAAAGAATTTCAAATTTTGATTTGTCGCACCACAGGACACTTTTCACTTCAACTCAGTCCATCTTAAATGAGTTCAGGCCCAGAGAAGGCAGCGGTATTTCTGGGTCCTGTTTCTTGTGTTTTTGAACTGTTGCACCATTTGCTCATGCAGCCTTTCACAGAGTGGTGAACCCCTCCCCATCTTTACTTCTGAAAAACTCAGCCTCTCTGGGATGCCCTTTTTACACCCAATCATGTTATTGACCTATTGCCAATTAACCACCGGATGTTTTATTAGCATTACACAACTTTACCAGTCTTTTGTTGTCCCATCCCATCTTTTTTGTAATGTGTTGCTGTCACCAAATTCAAAACAGGCATACATTTGTCAAAAAACTGTAAAATTTTCTTAGCTTCCACATTTGATATGTAGTCTTTGAACCATTTTGAATTTAATACAAGGTTTAAATAATTTGCACATCACATTCTGATTTTATTTACATGAACAGCACCCCATTTTTTTGGAAACAGGGTTGTAAGTACTACTTGTGTGACAGTTTGAAGTTTATCCAGCATTCTCCCCTAGGGCATGCAATGTGCTTCAGTGTGCATCTTTTAAAAAGAAGAGACAACTACAAACCTACACGTCTGTAGCAATGACTGTCTAAACAAGATGTAAAATAGCTTCTAAAAATGTTCATTCATTAAGTCAGTTAATGCTAAAAAAGCATATCAGTTAAACAGAACAAAGTCGGTCAAAGCCACATCCTGGGGGGCTGTGAGTGTGCATATAATCAATAATCCTGGTTTCTTAACAAAGAAATATTGTGGTACTTATTTTTTAGTGATATCACTTAGGACTACTATACAATTAATTCCACAAATAATTGAGAACATGGATTTGACAATAACATCTAATCTACAGTCTTTTTTAAAGGAGGTTTTGTGAAAGAGCACTGTAAAACAAATTCAAATATCCCAATTCATCTCAAAATAACTGCACTCAAAATCTCAATCATTATTTACTTCTGATGATGCAAAAAGAACATCTGGACCATGTTCGAATCTATATGATACAAAACTGTACAGAACAAAAGCACATTATATGGTCATGAGACAGAGCTGACCAAAGCACCCAAAGGGTCAATGTAAGAACAAGAGAACAGAGGTCTTCCTGCTTTTTAGCTCACTATTCCTTTGCATACGCTCAAATGGAAGTTTAATCTAATCTTGAACTTAGAACCAAAGGCGTGCCAGGAAACAAAGCAATTTAGCCAATACTACACCCTGAAAGCAGTCTCAGCGAATTAGGTAGATGATTATTGTTTCATGTAAGATGCCTTAGAGCTAGACTGAAAGGAAACACAACCAGTGTTTAAAAGAACAAAGTCAATGAAAGATTAATATGAAATTGCTGTGCAAGTGCTCTGGGCGCAGAAAAGATCTGGGGATAAGAGAATTCTCGCTGTGAGCTCTACCACATGTAGGCAACGGCTTCAGAAATAACACGTTTGATGTACAGTAGTGGGGCAAAAAAAAGTGTGAACTCTCGAATTATCTGGATTTCAAAAAATAAAAAAGTTTAGAAAATGTAAAACTTCTTGAAAGTTATAATAAATACTGACAATGTCATATTTAACAGCACACAATGTTTTAGAGATTAGGCTTTGTTCCAATTAAAAAACGTTGTTAATTTACTCCACTTTCATGTTGCAAGACCAACCTCGAGTTCTGGGTCACAGACACGTGCTTTAATGTTCAGCTGTGGAATCAAACCCTGTAAATGTAGACAATGACTCGGCTGAAAAGGTCACTGTAAGACCCTTTTACCAGTCATTAAAAACAGCTTACGCTTGAATGAGCATGTAGCATTTGTACAATATGGAATGTATGTTGTTAACATTCACAAATGAAATCAACATGTATGCTGTTCAGAATCTGATGAGGTCAGAGTGACAACCTCCATAACTGAACAGCAATGCACTGTGCTCAGACGTAAACAGGCCAGTGCAATGTAGCCAGGTCTATCAGTGCAGACACTGCTACGGAATAATCTGCACTCACTCTTCGTGAAATAATGAACACCTCTAAGGCAAAGACCTTTACATTTACCAGAATTTTCTTGATGGGGACAATTGATGTAGTCTACATCTACACGTCTTATCCTATTACCAACACAGCACCACACTGCCTCCTAGTGGATAAATGCTCCCCTTTAGAAACACCCTCAACAGATACACAATCCTGTTCTCACTGAACTTGAAGCATACCATATTGAATATCTGGACACTGTAAACCCTAGAGAAAAACACCACTAAATGTTTGCAGAATAGTACTACTTCCAGTACCAAAGGTTTGAGTTTACATTTACAGCATTTAGCAGACACTCTTATCCAGAGCAACTTACAAAAAGTGCTTTGTGTATCTAGAGAAAGTATCTTTGCTAGTTACAAGTAAATTAGAGAGAAAGCTAGTCCTGAGCTCAGATACTACTAGAAAAGTCCATGTTGATACCTAGAGAAAAGAAACAAAGTTCTCTCTTACTTGGAGGTTTTCAGCTCTAGCCCTTGAATCCAGAGTCCTGTTCTGGAGTTTGCCACCCAGTGTCATTCCTAACACTGATTACAAAACCCCAGAACCAGCATCTGGATTCAAAGTCCAGTGATAACTTCTAATAACAATATAACATCGCCTTTACTGATTCCACATCAATTTAAGCCGAATGCCTATGGATTAAATTTTGCATAAAACACATCATTCTCAATGAACCAGCAGGACTGCATTTCCCAGAAGCCCCCTATCCACTCTTCAAACTCACCTGTGATGGGGATGCCTCCCAGCCCTGTACTGTGTTGCTGTTGTTGAGCTGGCAAAGTCAAGTCCAAGAAGCTGTTGTGCTGTACGGTGGAGGGGGCAGCTGTGGCGTTGTGGTTCAAGTGCGGGAGGTTGCTCCTTGCAGACATGGCCAGCCAGCTGTGGCGTGAGGCTTGTGTCTGACTGGGAAAGCTGAAGGAGTTGTACACAGCCCGCTGTGGGACTTGGGAGAACCCACGCGGTGGCAGCACAGAGTTCGCAGGGAAGTGTGTGGTTGAGCCAGGGGGAAGTAGCGGGCCTTTGCTGGAGGGGGCGCTGTGGAGGGGGCTGTGCACAGGGCCATGGGGGAAGCCGGGTGCTGGAATTGTGTGACTCATGGACAGTGAAGTTTTGTCCTGCACTGACAGCTCTTTCTCGATTAGGTCAGCCAGCGCCTTTCGTGTAATATCAAAGGGATCAAAGCCGAGGTCATCCTCTTGCTGTTTGTTGGAGGAGCCAAAGCCAAAGGCCGCTTGCCAGTCCGTTGAGGACGATACTGGTATGGTATCTGCCAAAGAAGGAGAGGGTCAATTATTAATTTACAAATATAAAAGACTGTATCATAACTTGTTTAAAACCAGATATTAAAAGTAAGTACGACATTCATGACAGGAAGCACTAAAGCAGTTTAGTGTTCTCTCTGCTCTCTGCTCTAAGAAATCTATTTAAACACATGAAAGACAAAGTCATTACCTGAAGAGTTACATTATTATTAAATCAGGGAAAATACTAAATTCTGGGGTTGCCTAAGATGGCAGCCTGACTACTCACAAGTATCAAATCTCTATCTGTCTGAAAGCGTGCCCATATGTGTGTTCAAGAACACTGAACAATTACCACCTGTTATTCAAAGATAGCACCGATAATTTCAATCAGCTCTACTGATTGTCTGGCTTGCTAACCTGAGGTGAAGAGGCTCTGTGGTTCAGGAGCAGTGGGCCAGTCTGTGTTGTTATGAGGGGAGCTGGGGAAGCCAGGCAGGTTGCTCGGGATGGGGTTAGGGTGCCTGAAGTTGCTGTTGTCTGAGAACAACGACTGTGACTCTGCTGCTGCCCCCTCAAAGGGTGAACGCACAGTCAAGCCTGATACACTAATTGGCACCACCAGACAAGGCTTAGGCAGACCTGGAGGGGGCGATGGCGAGTCACTGCAGGGAATCTGAGTGGAGAGACAGCAAGTTGGTGTGTGTCAAAGAGCAAGAATATTACTCAAAAAAAGAAATGAGGAACCAGGAGCTGTAATATAAGAGACATTTCATACACTGGAAATACAAGATATGTGAATTCATTCAAAGAACAATACTACATATTTCTGAAATGTGTATTGAGTAATTGTGATGCAGAAATCACCTGTGGCAATGTTTCCCCATTTCCTATACTGATGGCTTCTGGAGGTTTGTCACCAGGGCTGAGAAAGAAGAGAGATCATTCTAAAAGAGCACAGGCAGTGGCTGGCTTTGTTGGTCATGAGTAAAGGCCACTTTTAATAACATTACTTGATATGATCAACCCAGTAAACTCACCATTAATCTCATTAATAAAAAAAGCGTTAGGTTAGTGTATCTGGACTATGGTTATCTAGAGTTTAAGAGTCTATGTAAGAAAGATAAAGAAACAGAAACGTCTGGGCAAAATTTAAACACTGAATGCTGTCAAGACGTTTTACAATCCATAAACTGTCTGCCGCAAAGAGATGCGTCTGTTTATCTAGGCCTGTCACAATTATTACAGAATCACTTAATCGCAATTATTGATTTTATAGAGTTTATAGAATTATAGAGTTTTTCACAACTATTTAAACTGATTGCAATCATTTTTATAGTCAAATATAATGTGAATGAGGTGCATTGGGTTGAGGTCACTGAATATAAATAAAAGAAAGCAGTAAATAAATTCAATATGACATCATGGGCCTTATGAAAACAAAAACTCTAACTTCTGATTTGTTACTCTAACATGTGAGGGCAGCCCGGAGTACTGTTTATTTGTTAGCTATGCAGCAAATTCTTTTTTTTTAGCGTGTATGCTGGCAGAACAAGTTTTTTCTCTTATATTATTAATCTCATGAACATGTAGCGTTGTTTAACTACACTTGATTCTGTGTAGACATTTGTGTGGTGTGTGCAAACAGTACTGACTGAACAGTCAAACGAGAGTTAGCTACTAAGTATACACAGCTAGTAAGTAAGGCGCATATTTTTAATAGTTTCTAACAATGAACAAAAAAAGACAAATTGTTTATCAGAATTGTTTGTATGACAACAAATTGTGTTGTAGTTGTGACAGCCCTATGTTTATTTTGGCAGGAAAGGAATCCGCAGGAAAATTCACTTGTTATCTGCCATGCTGTACATGTTCAAAGTTCTTCTACATTGCTGAACGTAGACACTTGGCACTATTAAATGACCAGAGGTGGTGCAAAGCAGTTGGACAGTTGTGTGCCTACACACCTACGATATTTTATACAAACAAGGGCAGACAGTTGCACATTGTGTGGGCCAAAAAAGCCAACTTGTATCACTTGCTATTTCATGCATGCTCTCCCAGACACAGAGGCTACCTGTACTGTGCCCTAGGATTTAATTCAGCTCATTGAAAAGCATTAATAATAGCTTGTTAACACTTTCACAGGGGTCAATTTAATCCTAAGCATGTGCAGGATTCTTTGTTTTCATGCCTCAAATGTTCACAACTATGCTGACCACTTGGGCATTTTCTTGCTTTCCCTCTCTGTGAGCAACGCATCACAACTTAAACCACGTGGCAGACACGCTGTTAAGGCAGGGCCTTCTGTGGAAGGAGTAGTTATTTCAGAAAGCGATTTTGATGATCTGTGTCAGACAAGTTACCACTTTGGTGAATTATTTGCCAGCACAGACTCAAACCACTACCCATTGTGCTTTGAGTAATTAAATTCATGCAGCTACGATGTGCTGGCCAGATCAGCCGCTTAATACCTTTGCACTATTTCACCCCATCTCTGTACTCCTGGTGAGGCCACTGAATCTGAACCAAGTTGGAAAATGGTACAAGGACAGTCTCGTTATATTTGTGGCCACTAGGTGGGAACCACAGCTGAGCAGCTGCAAGCAGGCAGGGTAGGAGACCATATGGCACGCAAGTGCCTCATCAATGAACATAATGTATGCCTATGGCTGGAGAACTTGGTGTGCGGCTGGCGCTGCTTCCTCTAGACCAGAAGTCATCAACTCTGGACCTTAAATTCAGTTTCTAGTTGAGGACCCTACGTCACATATGCTTGACCACTATTTATTTTTATCACAAGAGTGTGGACAGGTTGTACCTAAGTGCAATATTATTTGATCACTGCCTTCCTTAATATAAGCATGCGGAACTTCCACCCTTCACACTCAGCTACAAGTCTGCTGTAGGAATTACCCATAAAGGATTTACTGGAACACATTTTGAACCTCTGACACAAATGGACCCGAAGTGAAGCTCACAGAAGTCACCTTTCTTACTGCAGACTACCACAGGAAAACGTGAGAGAGCTACACAATCGTCTTTCAGAAAAACTGTGTGTATAAGAATTCTGGATGGTACATGCCACACACTATGCCCCATTCTAGTGCTTCTACCTCAATCCCTCAATGAATTGGTGTATTCGGCTGGCTTCTTCACTGACAAGCAGGATACTTGTCACTCTGTGTTGTGCTCTGTACGGGGCTTGAGCTATCATGTGGACTTATCTCATGGCTTTTGTCAAAATCGAAGCTTTCACACTGAGTGATGGAGGTAATCTCTTTGGGATACAAGTCCATCCAGCAGCTGACACTAGGATCAGCGTCTTGCCACTCTGCCCGGAACACATCCATGTTCTTGGCAGTGTTGAAGGGCATGGGCGCAGATACCAGGTCATCGCAATTGCTTGTTCTTTCAGGTCTACAGCATCTGTGTGCCCTCCCCTCACAGAGTGAACTAAGCATTGCTACCTGAGGCTGCCTCATTTCAGTGAACATAAATTCAATTTCTTGTGACTTTGTTGGCATTGTCCTTTGCATCATCTTTGCTCACTTTGTGGTCAAACAATATCTGTCAATATTTAGAATTCTAAAAATGTGATCTCATTCCCTGATATTACAATATCATTCAATCATTTTATTTGAGTGAGCATTTCATATAAGCTGCCTAATTCATTAAGTGGATATACTATATTTCATGCAAAAGTAAATTTTAAAGCTAGAGAGATGGATTCCAAGATTTCACACAGTTTTTACAGATGATAAAATTAGCACACATCATAATTATGTCCAACTCTGTTGTTTCATATCTTTCAAGTCTCTCTGGGTTTCTCAGAGACTCTTAAAAATCTTAAAGTTTATTTTCACTTAGTTAATCAAAACAGTGATGACATTTGTATTGTGGAAACTGAGAAGGGAGGCTACAGGGGTGTCTACCTGGCAGGTTCACAGTTTGAAGAGAAGGGGGCTGGGAGGGGACCAAGGCCCAGCTCTGAGTCTGGCCCATCTGGAGTTAAGTGCTCACAGTCTGAGCCTCCATCAAGAGGTGGGCTCTTGCGGTGTTCTGAAAGCCCATTGGCTGTTTTTCCTGTGGGCTGTAACGATGGCCATGCGTCTTTGTTGTTACTGTTGGAACTGTAAATAAAAGAAAAGAGAGAAAGATCATAAGTGAAAATGATTGAGAGGGAAGAAAGAACAAAAGAAAAACGGAATATTACACTGTATTCAAGTAAAACAAGGAAACCGGTACAAAGACATAAGACATGGTTTAAATGACTCTCTGGAACAGAAAAAAAAATCATAAATCATAAAGAAAACAATTGTTTTGTGAGAATTCAACACAGTTTAAGAAACAGCAATCTCAAACCTCTGTACAGAGCCTGATTTGCCCTTTGTCTTTTCCCCAGTCCCTGTGGAGGTCTGCAAGAAGTTGGGGTTCATTTTGTAGAGCTCCTGTAAAAGTTTCTGTTCATATTCCTGATGTTTTCCAGCCTGCAATTAAAATACACAATTCATTTTAAACTTTGGCCTGGACTAACACATCAGAGGTGAAGTTAAAAGCATTAAAGTACAAGACAACTTTACCTGCATCTCTTCTTTTGTGAAACTAGCTGCCTCGTCACCCAGCTCATGTAGATACATGCAGTCTGGTTTGGGGCACTGCATGCTTTTTAGAAAGTAACTGCAGTACTTTGTTGTACCTAAAGATGCCTGCAGAAAAATATTACATCAGTCATTTTGACAATAACAAGGACAAATTTTATTTGATTACCATTTAATCGAATCTTTATTACATTACTTTTTTATTACATTACCTTAAGTGTTCTGCCATCTACTACTACATTGTTGACACACTGTATAGCTCTTAGGGCATCTTCTGACCGAATATACGTGACGTAGGCACTGGCACTAGGACCCTGGTGGGAAAATTTTTTTTTTTTAATTTTAATTCTAATTTGGACAAATTAGCATGTTATGCAGTTTCGACAAAAGATTAGCTTTTTAAGTGAACTTTTAAGGCAGTATAACGTACATTCGGGATGATGAGGGGATGATGAAAAGAAAACTTCATTTTACCTGTGAGCCTGCATATGAGGTGCTGTTGTTGATGACCACTTTATGGATCTTCCCAAACTTGCCAAAATATTCTGGCCTCTTCAAGACCTGAAATGCAGTGTGGAAGAAACAAAGCCAAGTTACTAAACTGTGCTATCTGGCAGGAGCACCAATGTGTCAAAGACTTACTGCTAACATGAGCAAGAAAAACAATTTCAGAAAATACAATATTTTAATACTCTTCTATATTAGACCATACAGGCCACAAGGATCAAAGATCATCAAAAGGTTGTTACAACAAACAAACAATAAGATGGAGAGCAAAAAAGCTAAAAAGGTCAAAACAGAATTACAAATTACAAACACACAGGTACAATTAGAACAACACCAGGGGGGAAACTGATGTTTGAATACAACGTCAATCCACTAACCATGCTTTCAGAGATATTAAACACATTGTAAACAACCCACTCCGGACGCCATAGAAAAAACAGAATCCTGCATTCACAGCCATGGGAATAAAAGGAACAGGGTCTGTGCAGTTGACTAACTGCATTCAGAACTGAACTGATGACCTCAACATCATCAACAGGATGTTTATAATGTGAGCCAAATCAACACTGATAGATGAACAAAACCAAAGAAAAAAGCAGAAAGTGACGCTACCAGGCCTCTAGTGTTCAAGTGGCATTTCACTGGCAAAGGAATTCTGTTCAACAGACTAATGCTTTTGAGATTCTAGTCACTCTCAAACCAAGACCAGGGCCCGGATATTTCTTTGTGGCCTTTGTTCGACCGAGGCTGCTTGCATCAATGCCGCCCCCTTCCCCCCAGTCCAACTCCCCCACCAAATATCAAGGCGTGAATGAAGAAAATAAAAGAAGACAAAAAAACCTAGGCAGTGAAAAAAAGGGAAAACATTTATTTCAATAAATGAATGAAATCACATAAAATTCAGCAAGTGTGCAAATGCATAAAAGCCTGTTCCAGACTATGTGAACTAGATTTCAAAATGCACTTAAAATTAAGCCCTGCTTTTAGTCAGTAAACACGTGCCCACAGACAGAAATGTTTCCTCAGCTTTGTGTTCCTAATCTCATTCGGACACTTTTGGAACAGGCAGGCATGCTTTCACTTTGCCTCTGCTTTTTTGCAGTGAATAATTTCCTTGGTGCCGGGAGCTATTCAGGGTGCATGACGTCAGCAGTGATGGCACAGAGAGAGGGAATGAAAGAACGTCAGAGATACATAACAAGAGAGGGGGAGAGAGATGCCCGTGGGCACTCATAGTTGAGTCTGAAAATCTGGTGGGCAGCTAGTTTTTCTTCCCCCCCCCAAAGAGCAAATATGTAAAATATTCTTGTCATAACACATGGAGTAAATCACATCTAATTATTTTTTCAAAGAAGGTTCGGTCAAGTATTTCACAGACAAATATGGAGTGAAGAGTCACCCAAGTTGGACCAAGATGCTCAGCAGTTGAGGATTATGTAAATATTGACATAATTTGTACACATAATACATCTGGCCACAAATCACTGCAAGTATTTAAAGGTGCAAATTTTGTATTAAGAATTATTAACAACTGATCATTCACCTAACACAATCTCTGTGGTAAACTCTCAAATCTAGTAGACAAACTCTGATACACAGAGAACGCTTCCATCCTTCATAGTACTTATGTTTATGAGAGTGTAAGATGGCTGGTCATGTTCTTATTCCCTTGATTTTAACCTCAATTGCCGCAGCATGTTTGCTTCTCATGCCTAGAAATGAACCTTTTCGTCTACTAGATTCTGCTGAAAGCCATATCCATACAAATAGTTCTCAGTATTGCCTAATAAAAAATAAAAACCTTCAATGAAACTTCCAAAAGCTTTATGACTTAGTTTGGACTAGTTGTCAAAAGATAAAAATCTTATGCCATCTCTCATTACAATATACTCAAATAATCAAGGGAGTTTTCCACTCAAAATGGCCATTTAGTACAAGTTACTTTTCAGCATCAGGAAAAAAGAAAACAACTAAAGTCTCAATAAAAGCCTCAACAGCCTTTGAAAAATAAAAAATGAAGGGTACAGTACTTGCACGGTACTGTATATTTTTGCAGAAGCAACTAGGACATGTCTGTATGTAAGTGTATGTCTAGCAGCTCCTGCTTGATTTACTTATTTTGACTTCTTGGTCCTGAAAAAAATATTATGATGGTACAATATAATCTTCACATCTGAACAAAAAAAACAAACAAAAAAACAACATCTAAATGCTAAAAGAATGCTAAATGTGTTCTACTTTATTAATAATACACTTCACGTAAATATGGGTTAGTGCACTTGTATGGAATCACCTCAGCGTCAGCGAGTCTCTGCGATAGCCCCACCACGAACACCAGGTTCCTCTGGACAACACGCACGCTGGCTAGGTGCTTGCGGTTCTCTGTGATCTTCTGCTTGCGCTCATTCTGCTTCTGCTTCTTCTCATTCTTTATCCTCTGCAGCTCCTCCTGAGACAGGGGCTTGTACACAGCTGGGTCCTCTGGATACGGCTAGAGAAGAGCAACCACAGCGTCACACAACCCCTCATTGGCTCAATATACAGGTTTAAAACTAACATGCTTTGTGCAGCACAGAGAACACAGAGACAGCCACCTGTCTCAAACATTAGAATTGGCAATGGCAGCATCATCTCCAGTGTGGCCACTAGAGCAGCATAATACGGCTCTTACTTTTCATTGCAATTTTAGGATGGATCTGTTACAGTACTGAATGTCATTCATTCTTTTTTTCCCTTCGATATCCAATCCAGAATTTTCTGACAGTTTCAGAGGGCTTGCAGGCCAAATGATGGAACAGAGGCCAAGACTAGATTTCATAGAGCTTCCCTCCAGAGGTTCTTCTTAGATTCAGCATTTTCTGTCGATATCAGCCTAATACAGATAACTGGTATTGAATTGGTGCCATCCCAAAATCAGCAATGCACTTGAAGAGCACACTGCAGTCAAATCAGTCAATTCCACACAGGATCAGAGTGAATATGGAGAGCTTTGAGCAAGTAAGTAAAGCTTGCTTTCCTTTGTACACAAAAAAATGTAATATTACCGATAAAAGTTTCCTAAACTACACCGTAACATTTTTAATAATTCCAGACTGCAGAATTATGGAATCCCTTGAAAAGAAAGTTTGTAAGATTGAAGAACAGGACAGGTGAACATACATGCAAGTTATTATGATTAGCAATTTGCTTACAGGCTGTTAAAAGCATAATTAATGTTTCAAATAAAATGGGGTATGTCAGCTTAAAGGTTAAATAACTTATTTCTACTACTACATCTTGCACCGTTCTACCTTTACATAATTTCAGACAGAGAAAAACCTTTATCTGCCCCAGGAATCATTTAGGATAATGGTACCTAGCAACAACCTGCTGAGCTTAAAAAAGACAAGAATTCAATCTGAAAAGCCCTATCTAATATTTGTTCTCTAGAGGAGCCTTATGTGCTTTAGTGGTATAGGTTAAGTTAAAGCTTTAGGGCACTGAAGATTTGGGTCTTCTTGCATGTACAGTGAACACTCAGGGAATGCCCCTTATTGATCAGCGGACGGAGGAGGGGTGTTTGATGAAAGGAGAGAGAAGACAAATTGTTGAGACTCCCAGGTTCTTCTGCCACTTTCCCCCAGACAGCTGCAAGCACCGCAATGATAAAAATCACTCAAACCCTGAGGCAGTGGAGCAAGCATGAATTTTTCTATCAAAGCTCACTGGGATGTTGAACACCAGTCATCAAAACACTTTTCTCCACCAACCCCCAAGGAGCTGTTCCCTAAAAATAAAGTGCTGCTCTACAAAAGACCCATATGGAGTTCCTCAGGCTAAGAAAAAATATTAAAAGGAAAGCCTTTGAATGTGACTTGATAAAAATTGTGCTTTTTAAAGGGGTCTCTATGCTGTTCAACAAACTGCATCATGTAATCTAGGGAACAGGCAATTTAACACCACTTTCAAAGTTAAACTGTCAGAGCTCTCCATGACTCTGCCATGAAAACATACAACACCTGGGAAATTGTACTGATCAAATCTTCAGCAGGCAATTTAGTCTGATTCATCACAGTTTTAAAGTTTAAAGAAAACCATGGAAAAGCTAAATTGTACAGTATAGTATATGTCTGTTTTGAGTTAAATCCAGTGGCTGTTTTGGACCACATAATTGATCAGTTCCATCTAATGACAATGCCATTCTTTGCTTTGTCTAAATGTCAGAACTACCCATTTAAATGGCAAACTGTGGCTGTAAAGGCAGACAAAGCTCTACCTTCCTGCAGGCGGGACAAAGGCCATTCTCATCTGTGCGAATGCGGTGCCAGCAGAAACGGCAGATTTGGTAGCCACAGGTGCAGGGAAAGAAGTTGACATCATCAATCTCCAAAGGCTCCATGCACAGGGGGCACTCCATGGGGTCCTCTTTCACTTCAGGGCTACGGGACATCCTATGGCACAAGTGGCAAGAAGTGGCATTGTTACAGTGTGAGGGAGGACTGTGCACAAAACTGAAGAGAAACAGACAGAGAAAAAACATATATACATATACACATACACAGATGTATGTGTATATATAGAAATAAATAAATAAAATCAACTCTTAGTTGAGAATGACCAACTTACAACTTAGATTTTATAAACTAAACACTATGTTTTTACCTTTAAAAAAAAAAAAACAAAAAAACAATTTTGCAATAAGGTGGCCTGGTGACTCTTAACCAGTCACAGCTCCAATGATGGTAAAAACTCATTCACCGCTGGTAATGTTGTTAGTTTATTGCTTTAATACATGCAAACCATAGCAAGACAGTAGTATGCCCATATGTGAGCATAACTGAACGTTTAAACATGTTCAGTGATGTGAGAGCCTACATAAATACACCGTTAAAATTACCTCACATTAGGGGTTGCACAGACTAACCGACTAGTCGACTAGTCCATCCAGTAGTCGCCGCAAGGGGGAGCTGTCGACTAGTCAGAAAAAGAAAAAGAAAAAGAAAAAGAAAAAGAGAAAAAAAATGACCAATACGGTAAAGAAAGCAGCTCTTTTGTGAAACAAACTTTGGTAGTCTGGAAAAACTTCAGAAAAAATTCTACAGTCAGCTGCACAATGTGTAAAGCTACGTTTAAGTACCATAAAAATACTTCTGCAGTGCATAACCATCTCATAATGAAGCCTCCAGTGCTAACTGCTAGCACCGGTAGTAGCAAGACGGATCACGATGGAAACGGGTAGGCTAGCATCACAGAGTTTTCAAAACATCCTCTCACGGACGAAAAAAGACGTCAAATAACGAACTGCTTGTCAGCTTTATTGTCAAAGATATTCGAACACTATCTGCTGTTTCTGGAGAGGGGTTCAGAGACATAACTCACTTTTTTGAGCCAAGCTACAAAATCCCATCCAACGATAGCCTTTGGAATACAATCACCCAGCAGTACAATGCTCTAAAAGTAAGTATTTCCACAGCCATGAAATGTCGTAGCATCTCATTCACTACCGATCTATGGATATCTTGCACTATGGAGTCATACATCACAGTCACCACCTTACAGACACCTAGGAGTTAAAATCAAGAGTGCTGGGCACAGCAGGCATGCTAGAAAAACATGCAGGAAGGTTGGCTGAATGCACTCGGTGCAGCAGGCAGATAACATGACTGTACAAAAAGTCGGCTATATTTTGGTGTACATTTTGGGACCTACTTCAAACAGCATCAGGTTTCAGACATCAGACAAAACAGCTCTCAGGAAAAACACAGCCACGGTTCAGCTCTCCTACAATTTGACATTATGCCTTGGGCAAAAGGCATCAAGTCTCAGTTGGTAGAGTTTATGCGACATTTGCAATTCCGTTCTTTCGGACTAATTAAATTTTTTGTGGCCAAATTAAAGATGACAATGAACTGTGCTATTGTGTCCATTTATGACGCAAAACTACACACATACATATATATATATATATATATATATATATATATATACATATATACATATATATATATATATATTTAAACTTACATGCCGTTCTACGCCCACTGCAGTGTTGGGGACAGTCTCAAAATTACCAGAAGAAAAGACCCCCAGCCGTCCTCCCACCTTCCCAAATGTGAGTCCCAGTTTAAACATATATTGGGGTTATTTTTCACCCGGTTAACTGAATAAAAAGATGCTAGTACCAGCACAGGCCTATTCCTAATCGAAGCGAATGTTCTAATAATAAGAGAAATAACAGAGGAAGAGCAATTTAAGGTGACATAGGAAACTTAAATAAAAGCATACCAGAAGCTTAAATGAGCCCAAAAAGACCACAGTTACACTTTCACATATGGAATCAATGTCAGCCCTGTGTGTTCACAATACACTACTTTTATGTGCAGGCTATGGGATTTTTTTTTCTACTAATGTTATGTCTACTATTGTTTCCTTCTCAAGGCCAAATTGGCCAAATGGGAAGGTCCTTGGTTCCTGTCGCATTCGAATACATTACCACAGTAAACAGTTCGTCATCAAGTGTCTCATTAACCAACTGTGTGAAAAAGAGTCTTGGCACAGGCCATATTGAAAATGAGAATGAGAGAGAGAGAGAGAGAGAGAGAGAGAGAGAGAGAGAGAGAGAGAGAGAGAGAGAGAGAGAGAGCTGAAGTAAAAACATCAGAAATGCACCCCATCACCAAGAAGAGCCCTTCAAGAACACAATAACAAAAGAGGTACAACACATTAACAACAGTCTTTAATTATGGGAGAAAGAGAAACTGATGAAATTCAACACTGGATAATGACAAACGAAGAACTGCCCATCTGTTTCTTCTGCTCATGTTTGTTTTGAAGGTTAGCGTAAAAAGTCCTTTTTGCCCAGTGCAATTGATTGGCAAGTTCTGTTTATTTACACAGCAGTGCTGAGAACACATTCTAAACAAGCTGCTAAAATGAGTAAACAAAATTCATACAACGATGTTTGGTCAAAGTCCTTATAGAAAAGTCTGTCCACTTTGCGGCCATCTTGGCAAAGCCCCCTGGCAGTTATTTCTAGCCATACACGACCAGGTTCCTATCTCTTTGAATGAGGAGAAAACTATAAATCTGAAACTAAAACATATTTGAAATCGCAGTTAAAATCTGACCAAAATCGCATAAATAGTTTATAGCATTTGTCTACTGCGCAGGCGCATATCTCAACAAAGAGATGGTGCTTTTCCCACTTGAGGCTTTACTAGCAAGCTGACTGGCTCGTTTTTTTGACGGCAGGACTTTCTTCGTAAACAGACTTCACGTCAAGCTTTCCCATTCACATTTCAACCAGTGATCCGTCTCCTTCTTTATAACATCTCTGGTTTGGTCTGGTAAGAAAACTTCCCTCCTGTGTTTACTTTGGCCATAGCAGCACAGGACAAATGTGAAGCTCTGGCAAAGTGACTTCCGTTTCTATGCACTCAGACAAGCAGCACCATTTCCTCATGATGACTGCAGTCACTTCACTTACTAAACAATTCTTTCAATGGCCTTACTGAAAACGAACAAAATCACCTTTTAGTAAACAGTGAACACAAACATTCAGTACTGTGCTTTTTTTCCTTGTACCTGGAATAGTTGTCAGAGTGTACCTTACATTAGAAACGCAGCCACTATGACTCGGCCTTGCCAAATCATTTACAAACGGGCTGCCTAACATGACAGGTCACTCTGGCCAAATAGCAACAGGCAGAGGCCTCCAAAGAGACCATGTGTACTTTGTGCTGCCCCTGACATTTGGTTCACATCTTTGTAATCCTTCTACAACTTCTCTGTACTTTCTAAGCTTTGACATAGTGTGTGGTGGGGCAGTGCGGCCAGTGCTTCTACAGAGGGAGCACCAAGAGTGTGAATCAGGGCGGAGAGGCGGGCACAGAGGGAAGGCATCTAAAAATATCCTGCTGAAGGCAGACCGGCTGTCGAAGAAGATGCCAGCCCCTCTGGTTCTCTCTTTAAAAGGGAACCAGGGATGGAAACGCTGGGAAAGGGGGTTAACGACCCCTCCCCACAATCAGCTGCTCTACATGTAGGGTCATCAGTATTTCCTCAGGCCAGCGAGGTTCCAAGCAGCCAAGCAGGGCCGGCAAGCCTGCTGAAACACACTATCTCCTGAGAGTGCCTGGATAGAATTAGTAACAGGGGTCTAGGGGTATTATTTGTTCACCCTTTACCTCAAAAACTCACAGCAAGATTTGTTCAGTAATGCATTCTCACTGTGCCTGAGAAGAGGACCTCTTTTCTATTGTGTCTGAGGAACAGACCTGCTCCAGATAAAGGCAGCTTGCCAGTGCTAGGTGTTAAACTCAAGTCCTCAAGGACAAGTATCCACTACATCCAGTACAGTTTGGTGATTTCCCTGCACTAATAAGTAGTACTATTTGTCTACTTAAATCTGGTGTGTTTGAGCAGGGAAATCACCAAATAGTGCTGGACTATGACCCTCCAGGATCAGAGTTCAACACCCCTGGCGTAAAGCAAGGCAGCAAACAGACAAAACAATAACACATTAATGCTTGGTCAAGCCAAACATGAATAAAATCTGGCTGATGAAAATGTCGATTCACTTGAATCAAAAAGGACGCCATAGGTAAAAAAGGAATTTGCTTCCAGCAATGGTTAATTTTGTTTCAGGCGAAGTAAATCTTGGTGAACCTTAACCGTGCTAATATGTGAACCTTTCAGGCATGAACAAATCAAAAAGGCTGTGGTCTCTTCTTTCCAGGGAGTGGGGGATATTTTTTTTTTAAATAAAATATGGAAAATCTGCTCCTCAGCCAACATACTGTTGCTTGTCACTCACAGTTTAGCTGTGCCAAAACTGAAGTCACATAACACCAGGGTCAAACGATTTCTGCTCCAAAAATCTGGTATGATCACTGCTTTACATTTTGATTCAATTCTAGCATGACAGAAATAGTATTATGAATGCAGAACAAGATGCAGTGGTGCTAGAAACTCTAGCAGCTTGCCTAGTCACATGACACAGCTGTAAAAGATGTGAGGTTAGTAACGCAGCTCAAAAACAGAGCAATAATGTTTAGAGAGTAAACTCTGACCTTGGCCATATGTTAAAGCAGGCTATGTACATAAAGGCAGGCTGTTTCAGTGAGCTACTGAAGGATGATTACACAAACGATGCTAACAGAAGAGGGAATCATGACTGTTTTTAGATTGAAGCCCCTCATGGAACTCACTCGTGTTTTGTAGGTTTCAAATTCTCCAAAAGGTGGAGCCATAAGCAGCCAAATAACTTTAATCTTCTTAAAAGCAGTGCTTCGCAGAAGTGTCTCTGTGGGTTCTTGTTTAGCCTTACAATGCATGAAAATGTGCTTGCTAATGTTCTGATGCATTTCATTATTGCTATAACAGTGAATAGTGGCTTTGTATTTTTTATGTTTACACAGTAAAAAAAAATCTACTTGCAACACATCCAGTC